CATTGAGGTCTGTATGAAGAGTTCGACGTATTTCACTACACAAAACAAATTATAAAGTATGTCCAAGTATTCAGAAAAGATTTTGACAGAGGATACTTAAAAAACAACAGAAAATTCAATTTTCCTGTGATATTTTGACATATGTTATGTAAGAACTGCTATTGTGTCAATTTACAAAAATTCTCTATACCGGGTGCGTTTCAAAAGTAGCTCACCCCTCTAACTTTTTTATTTTTTTAAATAAAAAAACGAGATTTGGTATGTTAGAATATGACATAAATTAGGGTTGATTGACGTATTCAGTTGTTTTTAGTCACGTTTCACCGGAAATGACCACAACTTTTGATTTTTAAATAGCACTCTTTATTTTATTCGATAGAAAACGATAATCTGAATAGAATGACGTATCATATGTCAAGTTTTGACATTTTCGCATATGGTTTATTTGAATTTGTAACATGCGATTCATAACGACAATTTGACTCGAGATACCAAGTGTGTGAGTACGAAATTATGAGTAAAAAATGCTTTTTTCAAATATGCTAATGACCCATTCTTGTTCTATTTAAACAAAATTGAGATATTATTAAAAATACGATTTGGGCATCTTTTAATCGGCTAGAACAAGACACGAAAAACAATAGACGATCAAACCTATTTCAACAAGGTTCCTTGATTAAAAATTAGTGTTTTTAACACAGCCAATGCACTCTAGGTTGAAATTTTTAGTACGATTATTTTTTAAGCAAAATGTCAGAAGTTGACATATGATATGTCATTCTATTCAGAGTATTATTTTCTATCGAATAAAGTAAAAATATACCGAGGGTGCCATTGTGCCATTTAAAATTCGTTGTTAAAATAAGTTGTGGTCATTTCCGGTAAAACCGGAAGTGACAAAAAACAGTTAAATAGGTCAATCAATCCTAGTTTATGTCATTTACTAGCATACCAAATCTCGTTTTTTTATCTGAAAAAAATAAAAAAGTTATAGGGGTGAGCCACTTTTGAAACGCACCCGAAAAACTTGGAAAAAGTTGGTTGGTTAATATGTTTTACGACCCAGGTCAGATTTAGACAGACGGTGACAGAATGAAGACAGATGACGTCTATACCAATTCATTTTTCTCACTAGAAAATAGTTTTTATGTTAACCTTATATGGGCTTATACAGGCTGCTACAAATACGAGGGACGAGCATTGGGATCTCGGTAATCGTAATAGAACGAACATGGTTAAATTGCGCTATGGGATGTTCACCAAGATGCCATCAAAAAGGTTTTAAAAATTTCAAGGATTGCTGAGTTTTTTGGAAAAGACTTATTTTTCAAAAAATCAATTTTATTTTTTTCTGTCGTTACTTTTTAGAAAATCTAAAACTAATTGCACATTCTCATAGCCACTTTATTACGGCTATCTAATAGTATTTTTAGATTTTCAAATTAGTTGATAATTTGTAATATAATCAGATTAAATATTTAAAAAAACCAGAGTCGGACTTGAAATTATTTTAAATAATAATTAAATAGTTTTGTTGTTGTTAAGGTACCCAAAACAAAAAAAGTATAAAGTATGGCATATCGTTGTAGTTCGGAGACCGAGTTCTTTCAAAACCGGAAATAAAAAATGCAGATCCGTATTTAAAAAAATTAAGTTGGCCTCACAAATTATCAGCTAATTTTAAAAATTAAAAACACTATCAAATAGCCTTAATAAAGTGGCTATGAAAATATGCAATTGAGGCTTTTTTTGCAAAAATCCCATTTGTCATTAATAGCAACTTTCGAGAAAAGTAAAAAAAGTTTTTTAATTGGATGTAAGTTTGATTACAAAAATTTTAATATTAGTAGTTGATCAATTTGATAATTAGGCACATTTCGCAATATAAATAATATATATTTTTTCTTTCGGTTTTATTATAGGGATCATTTTTAATTTGATATATGGGGTTTTTGCAGGCAATTTTTTTATAGAAAAAGATATTTTCAAATATGAAACTAAAACATTTTTGTTAAATGATTATTTTTATATAATTATATTCATATTTTGTTATTCAAAAGATCATGTTTATTCAAAACATGTATGTAGGTACAATAAAATTAATAATTAATTTTCATCACTCATAGAACCTACTGATATCATCCTCATCTAAATCCGTAATCCGCTTGGACGGACCAGATGATTCCGTGAATAGTCTGTTATAAAAGTTTTTGATCTCGGTTTGATTAAAATATTCGGTTAAATCTTATGGGTTTTCTTTTTTTCGCTGTGGAATATCTAAACGTATATTATTGAAGAATTTAAATTCAAATTCTTTGGGTATACCACGTTTATCTCTTATAAGTCTGTCTTACCAAAACAACCCCAGGTTCACTGGTGGATGAGCAGACTTAAGGAAAACATCCGAAAATTTCGATAATAAGAGCTGATAGTTTTCCGTAAAAACAACGTAAGTCAATGACATCTGTGGTTTTCCCTGAAAACGTACCTGGATATATGGGATTTATGCAGAATCAGCAATATTTTTGTCGCTTATATCTTGGACTACTATCATTTTTGCGGAATTATTTCACGCAAGGGATGTAGTTAAATACTCCATCAATTTATAGATGACGTAAGTAGATTTTGGAAAAAAATTGACAAATGGGGTTTTTGCAAAAAACGCCTCAATTAGTTTTTTGATTTTCTAAAAAGCAACGACAGGAAAAAATAAAACTGATTTTCAAAAAATACGTCCTTTCCCAAAAACTCAGCAATCCTTGAAATTTTTAAAACTTTTTTGATGTAATCTTGGTAAATATCCCAAGGGCGCAACTTTGTCCCAATTTAACCATCTTCGTATCTATTACGGTTTCCGAGATACTAATTATCGTACCTCAAATTTGTAGTGATGGCGTTGTCGCTTGTTGTTTTCAACGAGTCTTATTGGTTTATTTCAAAACAATTATTTCCATATGATTGGAGTGACTGAACGATGAACTACAGACAAATGCAAATGCGTTACAACTCGAATTAAGATTTTTGGAGCTTGTCAAGCTCTAGTCAAATTAAAGGTTATAATTTGTGCCAAATTATACCAAATAAACAGCGTTCCAAAAAATAATAAATATTTGCGATATTGATTTTGCATTTTGGTTGATTTTATTACGTGTATTTTGTGTTTTTTAATGTTAAATGAAATAAGAATCAAGAGAAAGTAAGTGTAGACTCGAAAGTTGTATTAGCCACCAGTAAAATTTGCATACCACCTCGTATTTAATATAGTATTAAAAAGTAGAGTAGCTGTAAAATAAAGATAGCACACGATAGGTAAATTATAATAGCTTTTAATACTGTAAAGAGATAAGGCCAAAAGGTACTGATTCAGTTGAAGGTTGGAACCTTTGGTGTTACAACAGCAAAATAAAACACTAGTTCACCACAATATACCAAAACACTTTACTTTTGCACTGGATGCGCGTTTCGCTAACCATTAGCAGATGATTTGTTCTGTTCATATTGCTCTAGTTTCGGTAATTAATTGTTACGCTCGGTTGCTTTTGACTCGCTTGGCTAATTTTGCGACGCCTACTCTATGGCAACTGAGCGCGTATATAAACGCTTAATTGTAGATATTAGTATAGTTTTAATCATCTGCTGATGATACTAACATGGTAAGCAAAACACGCGTCCAGTGCAAAAGTATAGTGTTTTGGTATATTATGGTTTATTATTTTTTTAAAAAAATATGATTAAAGTTAGTTAACTAAGTTGTAAGTATATAAAATTCAGTAAGTAAACTTTATTTGTTTGTACATAAGTTATAGTGATAAGTATAATAATAAATACAAGAAGTTTCTTAAAGTTTGAAAATAAGAAATAGTTCTTAATGGATTTTTTGTATGTGGTGTTTTTTGTTTAACACACACCTTTGTTTTGTATTAACAAACACCCTAATTTTTTTTTAAATAAAATAACTCCATTAGATTTTTTCTACACACAGACAGTTTCTCTACATACAGTTTTTCTTACAAGTAATCATTCGTCACCAAATTTTTTTTATTTTAAAATTAATTATGATAATTTCCTACTTTGCATTCTTGTACCAACATATTTCTTTGTAATATAAAATAAGGATTTAATATAAGTCAAAGATTTTATCGTTGAACAGACCAGAGACAGACTGTACAGTTGGTTCCAATAAAATTGAATACGATTTGAAACATATTTTTATTATTTCGGGCAGTATGGTATTCTATGATACGAGTCCCCCATTTCTCTACTCATGTCATGCTGACAGTCTGAAAAAAATATTTTTCTACAACTAGCCTAGAAAATGCAGTTTGACACACGGAAAACTCGATCTGAAATTGGCGTTTTGCAAACTGTTGTGTGCTAAAGATTTAGCGCACCACATGTGTCATTTTGCACACGACATGGGCCAATTTTAACATTTTTAACCTCTAATGTTTAGCTGAAACGCCAAACGCAACGCAGCCGTCCGAAAAATGTCATCATTACATCGCAAATTATTTCACAAAACTGGCAAAAACTGAGTGAGTCTGCTGCTAATATGTAGTCGTAGAAAAAATAGCGTAAAAAACTCGTCCGAAAACGTCATTCGACTTGTTGCCTGCGGCTCGAGCCAACAAACTGTCGAACTCGTGTGGAAAACGTCGTTTTCGAAACTCGTTGTTTAATATACTATTGCCTGACTATTGCCACTTTGTCAAAAGCAAAGTTGTTTTATTCAATATCACAATAACCTTAACATGTCAAAATACTTGACACATAAATATACACTGCTCAAATATTCGAAAAAAATGTGTAGAGTCGTGTTTTTTTTGGAACCAGCTGTACATACGGTAAAACTGGGAACTGGGTATTTCTCTGTTTAGTTACACTTTACGCGACCTCTTCACCTCGGTGCTCGTTGGAAAATGACTCAAATTAACCCCTTAAATGGAAAATCCTTCGTTTCACTTGTTCGTGTGAGGAGTTTCGTTTTGGCAGCCGCACGAAACACACCCTCCGGTGGTGAAGGTCTATCGATAGGTTTAGATCGAATTCTAATATGCCAAACAAGACGGGTCTAAAATTGTTTACGAAAACGTGGCCTCTAAGACGAAACAAAAAAGTTGAAGATGAAGATCGCCAAAGACCACTGACCGCCACTTTGGACAAGCCTGCCATACTGGACATTCGATTTATAGGTGAGCGAAAAGTAGTCAAGTACAATGGTCAGACAAACACGTAAAAGATAATGTGTACAATCAACCTCACAAAATCTAACAAGGGTAGTTTAATTTTACATATTTGTAGTAGCGCTAAAATTTATTATTATAAATTTTGCGCGCGAAATTTATTATCAGTCAGAATTACATACTTTTTGGAACAATAATTATTTTGTTCTATAACAGTTCTTAACATATTAACATAACATTGGCCAGTTAAGTTAAAATATCCAATTTGGTACTTTAATTTCACAAATTTAGCAATTTTACATTTCTTGTTGTTCTTTTGTTAGATAATACCGGGTGCGTCTCGAAAGTGGCTCACCCCTATAACTTTTTTATTTTTTCAAATAACAAAACGAGATTTAGTATGTTAGTATATGACATAAATTAAGATTGATTGACGTATTTCATTGTTTTTGGTCACTTCCTGTTTCACCGGAAATGACTACAACTTTATATTTTTATATGGCACCCTCGCACATAGTGGATCGAGGTATACGGAAATATGTACATTTATTTTTGTTTTAGAACTATTAATCTGAATTGGACAAATTTGATTTTTTTTGAAGAGAAATGACTATTAGTATTTAATGTTAGTCCCAAATTTTATTTTTCCAAGAACTGAAGATGGCGGCTTATATATAATACTAAATACAGTAAATCCAAAAGTATTTTCTAATTGCATGCATGATTTTTACCTACTTACTTGTGAGATATTTCTTACACTATCAACTTTGACACCTAACAAACAAGATTTTATTCGTCATACTTATTTTTTAGTAGAAAAATTGACTGACATTAGCTATCAGTCTAAAAATATACAGGGTTGTTCACGCTATTTGACACGGAGTATTGTAGCCAAATGATTAAGTTTGTGGAAATTATGAGTGATGGGATTGTTGATGGACCACTAAAGCTATGCTTTAAAATTATTTGCAAAACGTACAGAGTGTCCCAAATAAATAAAATATCAAAGTTGTATTTTTTCGAATGGAACACCCTGTATATTATTACTTTTTTAGTTTTTACTATTAAAATAAACGTAATTTAATTAAGGTTTACCGTACTTTAATCTTTTCGTTTTTGAAATATTTACAATTTTGTGAAAAAGCACTAACAATTTTAATGCTTTATTTCTCTACGCATATTTATGTTTTTAAAACCAAATATTATACGGGGTGTAAGGGGTATTGAAGCGGTACATATAGCCTAGCTTACCCAAAAGTCAACCTCACCTTCACGTGGTGCACCCTGTTTACACAAACGAGGCTCTGACGTCCGAGTATAGGCGGTATAACCTTATACAACCCTCAGACCTACCATCTTCTGGGGAAAAGGAGTAGTAAACTACACCTAGCTGGCCGAGAACGTAGCACAAGGGAACTATCGTCGCGGTCCTCACTGTGCCATAGCCATCCCATGCTACAGTTGCAGCCAAAACTGTGCGGCAGCATAACCGCCACAGTTAACCCTTTTCACGCAGCTTACACACAGCAATGATGGAACATTCGAGTGGGACAAAATTATCGTCCGGAGGTAAAATACCCCCTCAATCGGATCTCCGGGAGGGGGTGCCTACACGAGCTTGTCATCGGAGAAACAAAAAACATCAATGTTTTACGTTTGCGGCGTGGAACGTCCGCACTCTACTGGACAAGATAAATTCAAATCGACCAGAGAGAAGAACAGCACTGGTCTCACAGGAACTCCATCGATTAAATATAGATGTTGCCGCTCTAAGCGAAACCCGCTTTGCGGATGAAGGTAGTCTCACTGAGGAACATTACACCTTCTTTTGGAAAGGTCACCCCGCAACACACAGAAGAATTCATGGCGTAGGCATTGCAATCAAAAACAAAATCGCCACTAAATTAACAGAAGTACCTATTGGTGTCTCCGAACGTCTTATGACCCTAAGGTACCCCATATCAGACAAAACTTACGTCAACATCATTAGTGCCTACGCTCCCACCATTGACGCTAAAATTGAGGATATGGATAAATTTTACCAAGCTTTACAAAATGCCCTCCAACGAATTCCAAAGCACGAACGGATCATCTTGATAGGTGACTTTAATGCCCGTGTTGGCAAACAACAGGAAATATGGCCTGACGTATTGGGAAAACATGGAATAGGAAACGTAAATAGCAATGGTGAACGCTTATTAACAACATGCGCAGAGTATAATCTTTGCATCACCAATACGTGGTTCATGTTGAAGGACAAGTTTAAAGGTACCTGGAAACATCCTAGATCAGGCCACTGGCATCAATTAGACCACATAATCGTTCGAAGGACGCATCTAAAAGATGTTAGGCTCACAAAAGCCAGAACAGATGCCGAATGCGGCACTGACCACCGACTTTTAATTTCAAAAATGAAAATCCAGTTAAAACCCAAACATCCACACTGTAAAAAGCAAAACAACATGACCAGATTGAACGTACGGGGTCTAGAGAACAACAATACCGCCGACGCCCTCCGGGAAGCCATCAAAGAATCACTTCCACCGACAACTTCAATCTCAATCTTGGAAGCTGAACAAGGCTGGACACAATTAAGGGATGCGATTCATAAAACCAGCGAAGCAGTACTGGAAAAGTCGAACAAAAAGAAACAACCAGACTGGTTTAACGAAAATCAACCGCATATACAGGTTTTGTTGGAACAAAAGCATAGAGCACATCAAGCAGTCACTGCCAATCCACATAATCCAAGACTGGTAGACAGCTTTAAAGCAGCCAACAACACACTTCGAAGAGAGCTGCGCCAAATAAAGGATAACTGGTGGTCAGAAAAAGCGAATCAGATTCAAGAGTACGCCACGCATCACGATTATCGTAAATTCTTTGAGGCTGTAAAAGAAGTATACGGTCCAACCAAGAAGGTAAGCTGCCCAATCATGGCACAAAATGGCGAACTTCTAAAAGAGGAAGAACAAATCCGAAATCGCTGGAAAGAACATTACAGCCATATCCTTAACCAAGAAAACAACCCCAATATGGAAGCACTAAACACGATACCTCAGTATAACAGCCTCGATGTATTAGACATCCCAATAACAGAACAGGAAATAGAGACCTCCATAAAACAGCTTAAAAACAACAAATCAGCTGGCTGTGACGCGATTCCGGCGGAAATCTATAAGTGTGCAAGTAAAGAACTTATTGGTCATCTTAAAGCTCTCTTCGATGTCGTATGGGAAAGCGGAGAGGTACCTCAGGACTTTCGCAACGCGAATATAGTGAATATATTTAAGAACAAAGGAAGTGCATCAGACTGCGGAAATTACCGGGGAATTTCACTATTGGCTATCGGCGGAAAAATTCTTGCAAAAATTATGTCAAACCGCCTGCACCCATATATAGAAAAAATCCTTCCAGAATCGCAAACGGGTTTTCGTACTAACCGCGGCACTGTCGATTCCATATTTTCCATCCGTCAACTGCAGGAAAAAGTAAAAGAGCAGCAGTCTAAATTTTATGTTGCTTTCATCGATCTAACAAAAGCCTTCGACTCTGTGAACAGAGATGCGCTTTTACAACAATTACAAGAAATGTTGAACACATTTACCTGGGCATACGAGGCTTTGGGCCTTAAGCTAAACATCGACAAAACCAAAATCATGTGCACTCCCCCGGAAGATCACAACAATGCTATAAAAATCGGAGAAGAACTATTGGAATATGTGGCGGAATTCAATTACCTTGGCAGTTTGATTTCGGAAAAGGCCAATATCGACTCTGAAATTCAGCACAGGATTAGTAGCGCTTCAAGGGCATTCTGAAAATTAAAAGACAGGGTTTTCTACAATCATGACTTGAGTACCAAAACAAAACTTGCAGTGTACCGAGTAATTATATGGGAGTGAAACCTGGGTGCCGTATCGCCGACACATAAACGCATTAAACAAGTTGCAACAGAGACACCTTAGACAACTCTTAAGAATCCGGTGGTTCCATCATGTCTCAAACGTATCGGTCGTTGAAAAAGCTAACTGCAAGAGTATTGAAGTCATGGTTACAAAATCCCGCTTAAGATGGGCTGGTCACGTATGCAGAATGCAAGAAAATCGCATACCAAAAGCTCTGCTTTACGGTGAGCTTGTAGACGGTAAGAGGAGGCCGGGTGGACAACTGAAAAGGTACAAGGACATTTTCCACGAAAACTTAAAGGGGATTAACATGCAGAATGAGTGGGAAACAGCAGCTCACAATAGAACTCAATGGAGAAGAGTTGTAAACTCAGTTAACAGCGATAACCAAAAAGTAAAAAGGCAACAAAGCAATGAGATTTTTGAATGTCCGGAGTGCGGTAGGCAGATAACATCACGTATCGGGCTTTTCAGTCACAGAAAAGCTCATGAAAGAAAACGCCATGCGTGACCATCTTCTTTATGTGTGTCGAATACTCGTCAGCGAGTAACGGCTGTATGTATGTATACTGAAATTTTTGTATTTACTAGATTTTCTGAATACTACCTCATACAGAGTCTATAAATTTAGTGTCTATAAATTTATTTTAAATAATTATTAGCTCTAAACGGCAATAACTTCTTTAATTTAAATGGACCTGTATATACCCTGTATATTTTACGTGAATCAGTTGAAATTGACTTATGATAAAGCTTTAAGTTTTTTTTAAATTGAGTGCAATTTAAAAAAAACTTAAAGCTTTATCATAACTTTTTTTGGGGCACTCTGTATGCAACAAAATATTTTTTAGGATATGCACCATTTTAAACCATGCAACATCTGTATAGAACTTTTTCTCATATCTTTGTTAACAACGACTATTGCTCGAAATATTGGACTTTCTCGCACTAATGCGCCACCCTGCATATTTCCAAAATGGGGCCTAGTGGCAGTAAATATTTTTATATTTCTTTTAAGGAACCTTTAAACGCAATAACAGATAATAAAAAATAACAGATAATAAAAATAACAGATAATAAAAATAGTTTATATATATTTAAGCATTTTTTTAAAACTCAAGATTAAAATGTAATTTTTTGTGATACACTATACAATAATTAAGACTGAAAATTATTGTTATTGAATACATGTTGGTATTAAAGAACTGAACAAATCGCAAGCTCATAATTCATATAGAATAAAAATATGATAAAAAGTTCATTAAGTTTTGGAATAAGTATGAAATTATGCAGTTTAATTTGTAATAGTCAATTTAATACGGAAATTCAAATAAATATATTCTGGAAAAACACCCCTGCACTATTCAGTAAGTTATCCATAATAAAGTTATGACTATTTTTAATAAATTTTAAGATTTTAGAACACATTTATTAAAAAAAATGTCTTAAGTTAGAAATTTTGCATAAATGCTGAATGTCCAGCAAATTGCATTGGATCGATCCACTGTGTCTAGGTATATTTTTACTTTATTCGATAGAAAACGACACTCTGAATAGAATGGCATATCATATGTCAACTTTTAACATTTTCGCTTAAAAACAAATCGTATCTTAAATTTCAATCTAGGGTGCCATGGCTGCGTTAAAAACAATATTTTTTAATCAAGGAGCCTTGGAAAAATAGATTTGATCATCTAATGTTTTTCGTGTCTTGTCCTGGCCCGTTAAAATATGCCCAAATCATATTTTTGATCATATATCTCAATTTTTTCAAATGGAACAAGGATGGCTCATGAGCATATTTGGCAAATGCATTTCTTACGAATAATTTGGTACCACACACTTGCTATTTCGAGTCAAATTGTCGTTATGAACCGCATGTTACAATTTCATATAAACAATAAGCAAAATTGTCAAAAGTTGACATATGATATGTCATTCTATTCAAAGTGTCATTTTCTATCAAATAAAGTAAGAATATACCGAGGGTGCTTCCATTTATTTAATACTCACCCTGTATAGGTACACCTATAATTTTAATACATTTAATTTACTTCCAGATAAAATTGATATGAGCACTATCAGAAAAGAGTTTCTGAACATAACAAATCTGTGTCGCATGCCTTTAGTTATTAGAAAAAAGGAGATTCACAGACCTCTAAGGTAAGTTGAATATTCGTTTTTTATACAAAATAACAATAATTATAATAGCAAAATTAATAAACTTGTATATTAGAAAATGTTTTACTTGTGTAAGGATTAAATTAAAAAAAATATTTTTTGTTATATTTTGTGTTACATTTCATTGCGTATACTAGGTGTCCTAGGAGCTACTTGGATTTATATAGAAAATGTAATGTAGATACGTTTTTGAAAACTATAATATGAATTTATGTATCTCCCAACGAATGTATACAAAAATGCCTTTATTTTTATCATTGTGGTAAATAATAAATGTAAATATGGGGGTTTTAAAACACTCAAAAAGTATGCGAAGTGGCGTTTTTTTTACAAGGGACAAAAATATAGCAAATACTAGAGGGGCCATGCATTTTACGAAAAGAAAATCTGTCGTCAGTGGAGTTGGAAAACATGTATACTCAAATTTATGTAAGGATGGGGGTAGTTTTCACCCTTCCCGTACTTTTTCTTGATTTTTGTGAAAGTCAAATGTTAAAGCACTTAGCAAGATATATTCACTCACATCGGAATAACGCTTCTTAAAATATCTTAAAACATGTGTTTATTTTTTTGAAGTTTGATGATCCTTAGCGGACAAACGACGCACTTCATTATATGTAGTGATGGGAAAAACTGATTAATTTCAATAATCGAGTACTCAAGTTTCAAGCGATTGCAATAATCGAGTGATCGCTCGAGCGTAATATTACTCGTATTTAAAAATACGGTTTTTCACCCGTCACGTCGCGTCGCTTGTTGTAAGTACTCGTTAACGCCAAGCGGCAAGCAGTAAGTTGCGTGCGCAGTGATGAATGGCAAGTAGCAAGCGGCGAGCGTTTCGCTTGATCGCTTGATTTAGTTTATTTCAAAGCATTGTCCATTGTCGATGTAGGTCATAAAATTTTGTCCCTCAGATACGCAACGGATAAATATACAGGGTGGTCCAAACTGTATTCCGAAAACTTCGGCAGCATATTCTTCAGATAAAAATAAGTAAAAAAGTTCGTATAAATGTATGTCCTAAAATGCTTACTTTCAGAGATACAGGGTGTAGAAGTTTCATTTTTATTTCGATTTTTTCTAAATAATTTCTGAGGTAACGTCAATATTTGGATGAAAATTGGTCTCAGGGAGTTTTTTGACATGAGAAATTTGATTTTGGTGTCAATATGACTCCTACTAGTAGAGGGCGCCACCTACATGTGTTTTAACTGTTTTGAAGCGTAATAACATTTTGTTCGTACCTACCTTTTGATCGTATAACATTACCGAGCGAAAAAATACGTAAAAAATATATCTTTGTAAAAATCGCTACAAGCAACCGTTCTTAAGATATTTAGAATGGAAACAGACAATACATGTCATTATTGACGAAAAATAATCTCGTTGAGTAGATAATTATTTCACTGAAATAATAAATTTGGAAAATTTTTATTTTTTTTAAATCAATCATAAATTTTTCTGCAAAAAATGATGATAAAACAGTTTCTGTTGAACTTTTGGCACAAAAACTTTTCAAATTTATGATTTCAGTCTAATAACTATTTAGTCAATAGGTTTAATTTAGGTCAATGATGACAGGTATTGATAATTTCGATTCCAAATATCTCGAAAACCATTACTCGTAGCGATTTTTACCAAGAGACCTTCTTCACGTAAAAAAACGTCGTAAATGTGTATTTTTTTACACAGTAGTTTTATACAGGTACGGACGAAAAGTTATTACTCTTCAAACCAGTTAAAAAATATGTAGGTGGCGCCCTCTACTAGTAGGAGTCATATTGACATCAAAATCATAACATTTCTCATGTTAAAAAACTCCCAGACACCAAGTTTCATCCAAATATTGACGTCACTTCAGATAGTATTTGGAAAAAATTGAAATAAAAATGAAACTTCTACACCCTGTATCTCCGAAACTAAGCATTTTAGGACATACATTTATACGAACTTTTTACTTATTTTTATGTGCAGAATATGCTGCTGAAGTTTCCGAAATACAGTTCGGACCACCCTGTATATACATATACGGCGTCGTATAATTGGCCACCTGCAATGTATGTAGAAAATTCGCTCGACTTTTTATCGAATATGTCACATTAAAATCGTATTTCAATTTATTTCATTCTAGGATCGCTTGCGTTCATCGCTGGGTACTCGTCACTTGCATCGCTCGTTCATAATCGAGCGATGTTGGTTATGTCAATAATCGAGTACTCGAGCGAATTTTCGCTCGAATTATCCCATCACTAATTATATGTAACACGTTTTTAGTTAAACTTTTATTGACTCATGGATAGAACAGCGCCTATAGATTACTGAGCGTACCCTATACTTTGTATTTTAACACGTTAAAAAAAGAACACCCTTAAGAAACCGAAATTACAACCAGTCATAACAAAACCTTTTTTGGGATCTCGCTAATTTACTTGATATACCGTATGATCGAAAAAAAAAGCGTAAAAGACGGCTGTTGAATGACAATCGATGATAATTTTGGCGAGGTGAAGCTCTAGACGTCATTTACTAAAAATTGACATAAAACTTGTCAATAATTAACACAAATTATAGGAAGATTGTGATGATTTCCTTACTAGATCACAATACGGTTCTAGAAGGGGGACAAGGGGGGATAAGAGAAGCCATCCTGAGGTTAACGTTAATCGCAGAGAGGTATTTGGAAGTCCAAAGGAAGCTGTACGTATGTTATGTTGACTACGAAAAAGCCTTCGATCGAATACAGCACGAAAAATTAATTTTTAAGTTTTCACTGAAAACTTTCCACTGAAGTAGGCTTGGATGAGAGAGATATTATCATTATAAGGAACACTTACAAGGATGAGGTATACATAGAGGGATGCATATTGTCACCATTATTGTTTAACGTTTATGCCGAATACATAATCCGAAAATCTCTTCAAAATTGTCCAGAAGGGGCTAAAAAATTATAAACAATATAAGATACGCAGACGACCCCGTGGTATTAGCAGAATCCGAAGACCAGCTGCAAACCGCAATGGACAAACTCACAGAAGAAAGTATCAGGATGAGTCTAGAGATTAACACCGTCAAGACAAAAACTATGATTTTCAACAAACATCCGCAAGACAATGAAAACACCGACATAATGATAAACGGCGTCCATCTCGAAACGACGCAGAGACATATTTAATTGGGCAGGGAATTACACAGCCAGCTGAACCACTGCACTCCAAGGAAATCAGAAGAAGGATTGAAATAGCTAAGGCTGGTTTCCTCAATATGCGGAAGTTCTTCTGCCATCCGAGAATATATATACCAACGAGGCTAAGAACATTAAAATGATATTAGCCCCATTAAAATGTTATTAAAGGGCACTTACTTCAGTATGGATGCAAAACATGGACGCTAAAACAAGAAGATATCAAACGCCTTAATGCGTAGGAAATGTAGATGTATCGTCGGATGCTAAGGATAAGTTGGACCTCGAGAACAACAAACTATGAAGTTTTAAACAGAATGAAAACTCGTGCACACCTAACAGGCACAATTAAAATCAAAAAGACTTCCTACCTCGGACATATTCTTTAATGCGATGTTAAGATCATCTGAGGGCGGGACATATAGTTAGGTTAGGTCGAGTTCACACGGGTCCGCAACAATATAATGCGGCACTCAGAATATGAAGAAATACAGCTCATAATAGAAGGAAAAATCGAATGAAAACGTAGCATAGGGGGAAAAAGAAATCATAGCTACGTAACATAAGAGATTGGACCCACACCGACGGAAACACCCTCATTCACCAAGCTCTGGACAGAGAGTCATATGCCATATTAATAGCCAATCTCAAAAGAGAAGGCACCTGGGAGGAGGGGGATAGGAAGATTAAAAGAGGATAGAACGTTTTCAGACACACAAATCTATTTCCAAAAAAATATTTTTTATCGAATTTTAAACTATACCATTTAAAAATTTTATTTAATATAAAAATAAATTAACTAAAAATTAATCTTCTACAGGCCAACCGGCAGTAAGCACCATTAAAAAATAAAGAAGAGTACGGACCAAGTAATGATGTCTAGGGCGACGATCGATTGTCAGTCCCTAGCAATCTTTGATGCCGCTTTTTTATCGTTTGGTACTTCTAATACTTGTTTCGTTAATATTTTCATCCTATTGTCAAAATAGTTTGCTGCAAGACACCCTATACCGGGTGCGTCTTAAAAATGGCTCACCCCTATAACTTTTGAATTTTTTTCAGATAAAAAAGACGATATTGTGTATATTTGATATGTTAGTATGTGACATAAATTAGGATTGATTGACGCATTCAATTGTTTTCGGTCACTTCCTGTTTTACCGAAAATTACGACAACTTTTGATTTTTAAATAGCACCCTCGGTATTTTTTTACTTTATTCGATAGAAAATGACACTCTGAATAGAATGACATATCACATGGCAACTTTTGCCATTCTCGCTTAAAGAAAATGTATTTTAAATTTCAATCTAGAGTTCCATGGTTGTATAAAAAACACTAATTTTTAATCAAGAAGTAATTGAAAAATAGATTTGATCGTCTAATGTTCTTAGTGTCTTGTCCTGGCCGGTTAAAAGATGCCCAAATCGTATTTTTAATCATAACTAAATATTAATAAAAAATAAATAGAACGAGGTTGGCTCATTAGCATATTTGGAAAAAGCATTTTTTAAGAATAATTTGGTACCACACACTTGGTATTTTGAGTCATATTGTCGTTATGAACCGCATGTTACAATTTCAAATAAACCATATGCGTAAATGTCAAAAGTTGACATATGATATGTCATTCTATTCGGAGTGTCATTTTCTATCGAATAAAGTAAAAAAATACCGGGGGTGCCATTTAAAAATCAGAAGTTTAGTAATTTCCGGTGAAACAGGAGGTGACCGAAAACAATTGAATACGTCAATCAATTTTAATTTATGTCATTAGTATGACCGTAGTAATTTCGTTTTTTAACTGAAAGAATAAAAAAGTTATAAGGGTGAGCCACTTTTGAGACGCACCCGGTATAGATCAGCATTAACACTTCAATATTTTTTTAAGTCTCATAAGTCCAGAAATGTATAATAGAACGAGAAGAAAAAGAAGAAAGGCCGATTCGACCAACGAAAGCAACGACGATACTGAAAACGATGTAACCAAGAGTGCAAAAACTACTAACATCACTTCGAGATATAGATCGAAAAGCTCAAGCAAATTGAAGGCCCTAAAATCACCGAAATATAGTGACGCCAACAATAATAATCAAATTTTGAGAGTGAGTTAGTAACAGTTAAAAATAAATAATATATCTAAAACCGACATATTACACAGGGTGAGTCACACAGGATAAGTGCAAGTATTTTCAGGGTTCGTAGATATCGATAAAAAAACATATTTTCTCTATGCCGTTTTTCAAAATAAGTAAAAAAAATCCAAAAAAAAATAAGTCAAAAAAAAATTCAAGTTCAAAATAACCGAGTTATTTTACTTCGTAAATTTCCAAAAAAAATGTTTTTTTGCTGAAATTTTGTGAACCATCTTTTCTATGTTTTCGTTCTTGCAAATTTAATCTACTATCTATGTTGACATATATTATTAAGAAATTAATGTTTTTAACTAAAAAAAGTTCCAAAAGATTTTTCAGAAAATTCAAAATTTTAAAAAATATTGCGAAAAAATCCTCATAATCGCGTTTCTAGGGTCCTGAGAAATATAATACCCCTAAAAATATTTGCATTTATTTAAGACTCACCCTGTATAAAACCAGTTTCAGTTCCTTTTGTGACTTTCGAGTTGAATTAATTTTTTAAATTAGATAATGATAAGGTTTGGTTAAATATCTCTTTTACCTGACAAGGAATAAAAGTTGAATTTTGGGATGCATGTGTAACTTGATATATCCTTTATAAGTAATCATGAAAAAATTAGAGTTGCAATTTAAAATAATTGTAGATGACATTATGTATCAAATTTGGGACACGCTGCATATAATTTTCATATGTCACAAAAAGCAAAATTTAACATAGGTACTATAAGAAGGAACAAAAATTAATTTTATTTGATTTACTGAAATTATTCCAAATTAAAGAATCACCCTATACCGGGTGCGTCACAAAAGTAGCTCACCCCTATAAATCTCTTATTTTTTCAGATAAAAAAACGAGATCTGGTATGTTAGTATATGACATAAATTGGGATTGATTGACGCATTCAATTGTTTTTGGTCACTTCCCGTTTCACCGGAAATGAACGCACCCCCGGTATATATATATCATATGTCAACTTTCGACATTCTCGCTTAATAAAAAATTGCATTTTAAATTTCAATCTAGAATGCCATGACTATGTTAAAAACACTAATTCTTAATCAAGGAGCGTTGGAAAAATAGGATTTGATCATCTAATGTTGGCCGGTTAAAAAATGCCCAAATCGTATTTTTAACAATATCTCAACTTGTTCAAATGGAACGAAGATGCCTCATTAGCGTTTTTGGAAAAAGCATTTTTTACGAATAATTTGATACCACACACTTGGTATTTCGAGTCAAATATTTGTTACGAACCGCATGTTATAATTTCAAATAAACCATATGCGAAAATGTCAAAAGTTGACATATGACATGTCATTTTATTCAGAGTGTTATTTTCTCTCTATATATTCAATCAAAATTTGTAGTCATTACTGGTGAAACAGGAAGTGACCAAAAACAATTGAATACGTCAATCAATACTAATTTATGTCATATACTAACATACCAAATCTCGTTTTTTAACTAAAAAAATAAAAAAGTTTTATGGGTGAGCCACTTTTGAGACGCATCCGGTATAGTTTTTTTGAACCGCGAAACAATATCGGGGAAAAAATAAGACTCGCCTTAAAATCTTCAGAATCTACCGTTACTTGTTTTAATATACTGGGTGAGTCTCAAAAGTTGCTCACCTCTATAATTGATTTATTTTTTCACATAAGAAAACGAGATTTGGTAAGTTAGTGTATGACATAAATTAGGATTCATTGACGCATTCAATTGTTTTTGGTCACTTCCTGTTTTACCAGAAATAACTACAACTTTTGATTTTTAAATAACACCCTCGGTATTTTTTACTTTATTCTGAGTTTACTTTTACCAAATACGTTTTTTAAAAAAAATTAAACGTATTTGACTTTTACTGACTGAATAGAATGACATAACATATGTCAACTTTGACATTTTTGCATATGTTTTATTTGAAATTGTAACATGCAGTTTATAACGACAACTTTTGACTCGAAATACCAAGTGTGTGGTCCTAAATTATTGGTAAAATGCTTTTCCCAAATAATGAGCCACTCTTGTCCCATTTGAAAAAATTGAGATATGATTAAAAAAATGATTTAGGCATTTTTTAACAGGCCAGAACAAGACACGAAAAACGTTAGTGTTTTTAACACAGCCATCGCACCCTAGGTGCAATTCACACTGAACGCACGTGCGCGAGATTGAGAACTTTATTGAGAATTGAGAACTTCAACGCACAAGTTACAGAACAGCTATCTAGCAACTGCCGCACCTGATCGTTCAACCTTGTGGCAAGTGAAGAAATGCGTAAACATCTAGAAATAATAAGAAAAAACAGCAAATTGGTCGAAGGAATTTATCCTTAATCATTTACTCTGATAAATGTTTAAATAAACTTTTCAAATTTCAATCCTTCATATTTTCTCAATGCCTCGACCGATTTTCAAAAACGAAGCGGGAAAGTATAGAGAATAAAAAGCCCTTTTCATTGTGGTACCACTTGACCCCCCTACTCATTTGAAAAAAATTGGGGGATGACACCCCCGCTTAGAGGGTTGAAGATTTTGCAATCATTTTTGGGGCAAAAGTTGTCCCCCTCACAAACAAAATTGACGTGTTTTTGGATTTTTTGAAAAAAAAAATATCCTTGCCGTTATGCCTTGCGGAACGTTTTCGATGGGCTACCCTGTATATTTATAATATCGTCGGTCTAGAAGCAAAACATACAAGGCCAAAGATAACTAAATTTTTAATGCATTTTTAAAGAACTGAAGTAGCAGCATTTTGGACTTAACGAATATGAAAATAATTTGAAAGTTAAACTTATAATTCTTAGAAGATATGGTAGAATCATGTAGAATCCTTCCATGCTTATCTTAATTTTTATACAACGGTAGTAGACCGAGCTTGGAAAACAGTGCGTGATTTTATTAAATTTTTATTACTTTGCTCCTTACTTTTTTAATTTTTATAAAAATTATGTATCATTTACGTGGAAAACCGTTGAAAAAAATAAAACTGAGTAGGTATTATGGAAATTCTTGTACAAGTAAGTAATGGGGCTATTTGTAAACTATTTATAGCACGCCGATGATGCTAGTATATAGAGAATTTCGTTTTTCCCCTTACCCTTTACGGATCCTCCGTATTTACAGAACAGATCGACGCAGGGTCGGACTGCCCATATTATATATAGAACTATTAGGGGGGCCCCAGGCTTCGCGGGCCCCTTTATAGTTTACTATTTATTCTTAATAATATTTGCTTTTGCATTGCATTATGGAATTTGCGTTGCATGGGTTTACCTTGCATTAGTAGTTCCCTGATTTCTATACAGGATGAGTCTTAAATAAGTGCAAATATTTTCAGGGCTGGTAAATCTCGATATAAGAAACATAATATTTTCTCTTTGCCGTTTTTGTCAAATAAATCCAAAACAACCGAGTTATTTCACTTTTAAAGTTTCCAATTCTTTGCTATAATTTTGAGAATCATTGGATTCTCTTTCTTGTAAATTTAATCTACTACCTATGTTGCCATATTACAAACAAAGTATGTTTTTAAACTAAAAATTAAAAAAAAATTCAATTTTTTTTTAATTCCAAATTTTCAAAAAAAAATGTTCGCGCAAAAAACCTCATAATCGTGTTTCTTGGGTCGAAATATACTACCCCCAAAAATATTTGCACTTATTTAAGACTCACCCTGTATATAATAAGAAAAAATTGACTACAACGTAAGGCGAAAAAATACGCAAATAAATCCAGACGGGCCCCTCCTTACATTGCCACACGGGCCCCTTTGGCCTAGTGCGACCCTGGATCGACGTACTGTACTAAAGAAACATACGAGTAAGAATCCGTGTGTTTGCTTTAGCGTGATCGTAACGGAAATTACGGAGATAGCAGCATTTCGGTGGCTACAGACTGATTCAGATCACTGGGAGTTAGCAGATATTATTGAGTTAAAATAGCAAATTTTCTTTAATGGAAAAAAATGTATTTGCTTTCCCTACTTATAAAGTATTTTTTTCTCTTTCTAATGGTATAAAAAACTTATTAGCGTAAAAATGGAGTTAGCAGGTTATCACGTTTCACTGATGATATGATATGTCATTCTATTCGGTCAGTGTCATTTTCTACTGAATAAAGTAAAAATATACCGAGGGTGTAATTGAAAAATCAAAAGTTGTTGTCATTTTCGGTGATACAGGAAATGACCAAAAAAATTGAATACGTCAGTTAATCTTTGAATAAGAAGACTAAGGAAGGAGCATATCAAAAATCTTAGGTACACCGCGATGGGCCTCAAATATGGCCGATTTAAATTCCGGTTTATCAGTGTCGTTCTAATTTTATTTAAAAAATGTAAAACTATGATGTAGGGTAGACGTGGAGTAGACTCAATAATTTGTTGTTTTATTTTACGTTGTGAATTAATGTTGGTAGTTATTAAAATTGTCATAAAAATATATAATTCTAATAAAAATAGATAAGTTATAATAAGTATTTATTACCACAAACATCCGATACGCTACTGAAGCAGGTAAATCAAATTAACGTATCTAAATTCTTTGACATCTAATCTTTGACAAGTAATAAATAAAAGCTAAAATGCAAGAAAAATATATAATTTAGTTAATTTAAGTGAATTTCATAAATGATCGGTTTACTACACGTATGTATATTATATAGTCACTTACTAGCGAAAAGTTGTTCCATTATTTCACTCAATTTTTGCCGAGATCTACCGCACGCTACACAACCAACTATTTTAGAGTCTTTTTCGATAAATCGCGATAGTGTCACTGTTAATTTAAGTGCTGCCACAATTTCCATCTAGATTTACTTTATACAACTATCAGTAGTAGAATAAATAATAAATAACATAAAATAAGCTCCGTAAAGACTGACAAATCCACAAAATTTCAAATCAAATTCAAATGTGTCAAATGAATCGTCAAACAGAACTGTCAAGGATCCCCACCCTAGAGTGCTTTTATGGCGCTTTTTCCGCCCACCATGCATGAATACATGGATAGCATTATGCTCCTTCCTTAGTCTTCTTATTCAAAGCAGTTAATCCTAATTTATGTCATATGCTAACATACCAAATCTCGTTTTTTTATCTGAAAAAATAAAAAAGTTATAGGGGGTGAGCCATTTTTGAGACGCACCCGGTATATTAATATATCGAAAGTATAATAACAAGACAATTCTTTTTTCTAAACATCTTTTCCTATATGGACCGCATAAACTTGCTTCGCTAAAATTAAGTAGGTACTATTTTCCCCTGTATACTTAGTTAATGTCATTTTCTCGTATTTGATAACAAAAAGCCGTCAAAAAAGCCGATTCTATCGACCATCAAACAGCGTGAGACTACAGTCGCACCTCCAGCGCTTGCTAGCAATCCGACGAAATCGCCTTCGGCATCGATCAAACTTATGCCGCCCTGCAAGACCTGCGGCAGGCCAGACTTGCCAGAAAGGTTCCACAGTCATCCTACCACGCCACTTAAGTCCAAAAAGCCACAGCAGGACCCTGCAGAAGTCCAGAAAATTATTCCCGGTAAGTCAGTTTACTATTTCTTTAATTTTTTCATAAATATAACTTTTCTTGAGCACGCTCTATGTTAGTGACCCAATAAAGAAATAAACTTAAATTTTGCAGGATAAACAACATACTAACATATCTAAATCCTATTAAGTGGTAGTACTAACATTTTATAATTTCCAATTTAACTGAAAGCTTTATCAGAGTTAGTTTTTAAACGCATCAGTTGTATATACCATACGAACAAAAAAAACGGCGTCAAAAACGGCTAGGAAATGACACTCAATTAAAATTTGGCGAGGTCAAGTCCTATAAGACGACATTACTTGGCCCATACATTTTTTTCAGACAAAAAACGAGATTTCGTATATATTTGGTATGGTATATTCAATTGTTTTCGGTCGCTTCCGTTTCACCGGAAATGATTACAACTTTTGATTTTTCGGTATTTTTTGACTTTATTTGAATATTATACTAACATTCCAAATCTCGTTTTTTATCGAAAAAAAAAATAGAAAAGTTATAGGGGTAAGCCACTCTTGAGACGCACCCGGTATACACACTTGATAAAACAATTAAGTTGTATTATTTGTAAATTGATCAATTTAGATTTTTAAACTCAAAATATTTTAGGGGCTATAAAATGTGGTAAGCCTCACTTTGTCTACTATTCTTTTTCGAGACATCCAAATTGTTTTAAATATTTCTAATTGGAAATTTAGGTCACAGATATGTACTTCAATTCTTTATTTGTCTTCTTTTATGTTCGAATTAGGCTAAACCCGTCAAAAACCGAAAATTGCTTGCTTATAGAAATTATTAAACATTTGTAGGCGTTTACGTACACACCTATAGTTTGTCATTAGTAAAATGTGATCGATAGACCTATGCCCGTTACAGTTAAATTTAGATGTTAGTCATTCTTGTTAACGGTCGAATGGATTGGTTTTAAATAAATTTTTGTTCAAATATCATCATAAACTTTTAGTCTGTTAGTATTCGCCGCTGTATTGATCATTGAATTACACGAATCGCCACAGTACGTAACAAATTAACAGATGTGCGGTAAAAAATCATCTGATTCAAAAAAATTAAAAGTGAAGTATTAATTTGCAGTGCAAGAATCCACCTTTCTATAAACTTTAATATTCTTATGAATACTGTTCGATTAAATGAACGCGACCTCGCTGATAGGTGTAGAAATAACGAGTTCTACTATATCTAGTGTTGCCAGATGTCTGGATTTCCGAGAAAATCCAGGATTTGTTGTTTGGTAACTCACAATTGATCATGATTAATTGAAAGTATTTGTTAAACGTCAAAATCACAATGTAAAAAATTAAAAGTAATTTCTAAATTTCTAGTTTTTTTTTAATTTGAAGCCACTAACATGTTTTATACTACTGTCAACTAATATCATTGACAACAGCGCCAGCTATGGCCATAAGCACGAACTTAAGCATGTTATTTCTAAGCCTACTATATCGTCGTTTATTCAATATTAGGCTTGTTAAATATATTGCGGAGCTAAATTAATTGAATGATCAAGAGAGAAGTAAAAAAGTGTTTCTTAGAGAAATATTTTTTTAAACGAGCGTTTCAAAATGAATGCAAAACCTGTAGAACTTTTTATTAGTATTGTACTCCTAAAAGATTGGGATAGTAATACCCAAAGATAAATATCTTTTTCTTTTTAATGTCTTTGGTAATACCATTGTCTATAATCAAGGGTAATACAGACTAAGCAATAGATGGGGTGTCTCATAAATAAGTGATATATTTTAAGGGTGGTAGATCTACAGTATGTCCCCGGATTGTCTTTACAAGAGGATTTTTTTATTATTGGCACATTTTCAGAAAAATGCATCCTTCATTAAAATTTTTGCTTGTTCTAAAACGGTTAATCCCGTTTATGCTTTTCCAAATTTCCATACCGTTTTAGAGAAAATTAAGAAAAAAAAATATGGCTAAATTTTTCAAATCATAAAAATTAAAATGCGTTTCTGGTAATGGTAATATAACATCGTTTTCATTATTGGATAGATTGTGTTCATAGAATTTTAATTATTGTAATATTTTTTGTTGTTTTAAAACATTAAATAGGCACAACATTTATTTGGTTTAATGCTACGGAAAGGGTGATTATAGTTACCGGAAAATATTCTTTAACAACAGCAGAATATGACATTAATCCAAATTAGTAATAATCATGTATCAAAGAATGAAATCGAATTGATATTACCATAGGGCTTTTGATATTTAGGACTTCTTTAAAAATTCAACATTATTTTCATGTTTTTCTTAATTTTCTCTACAAGGGTATGGAGATTTGGAAAAATATAAACAGGAATAACCATTTTAGAAGAAACAAAAATTTTTATGAAGAACACATTTTTCTCAAAATGTCAATAATAAAAAAGTGTTTCCCCTTGTAAAGACAATCCGGGGATATACTGTAGACTGTAGATCAAAGAAACATGTTATTTTCACATGACACCCGAGAATCACCGAATTATTTAACTTTAAAAATTTAAAAATATATACAGGGTGAGTTTTAAATATGTACAAATACTTTCAGGGCTGGTAGATCTCGATAAAAGAAACATATTTTTTCTTTACCGTTTTTCAAATAAGTCCAAAATATCCGAGATATATTACTTTCAAAAAAAATATTTTTACGCTTACATCTTGAGAACCGCTAGATCTTTTCTGGGTTTTCTTACTTCTAAATTTAATATACTATCATACATATAAAAAATCCAATTTTTTTTTCAAAAAATTCCAACAAAACAATTAAGAATTGATTTAACTTTTTTCTTAATTTCTAGTAAAAAGCAGCGTTCAAAAACCGATAGCTATCAAGTATGTTTCCAGAACAACTGCAAGTTCCAGACAAAAGATTTTACCGATAAAAAGACCATCGGTTGGTTCTACTGGGGCTACTTCTCTACCATTACCTTCGCCTCTAAGTCCAACAACGGTTATTGGCACGACTAAAATCAATCCAGGTCAAGGAAACCTAACCGACGACAACAAAAAGAACTTGTGTGAGTCCATTACAGAGACAAGGGAGAGGTCAGCGATGAAAGGGAGTGCTGGCAAAAGAACTTTAACTTGTTACATATGCGGCAGGGAGTTTGGCACGGCTTCTCTACATTTGCACGAGCCCAAATGTTTAGAGGTAAGACCATACACAATTTTCTCCAATTTGATTAAAATCTATTAGAGGTAGACATTGTCATCTATAAAAGAAAGATTAACCATATGCATTATCTTGTTTTGACATGCAAAATGCCAAACACATCGTTTACTTAATTACAGTTTGATTTGTGCGCAGACTTAATATAATCCGTTTTTTTTAAGATTTAATCATTATGTAGAATGTAGAATGTTTAGGAGGGGAGTTAATCACCGCGACTTTACAGATCTATTGTGTGTTCCCCTTTCTAGAGTTATAACGAGTTATAGTTCATACAGTCTCAGGGCTTTGACAAAAGGCAGTATCTGAGACGGCTCCACAGAGGCGAGCTCTCCATCTTCGACATCAGCCTTACCAAAGTTTATGGTACGAACGGTTGTCGTCTCGGCGCGCTCGGTCTTAAGATGTTCTGGTGTTTCCCCATTTTCCCCACAGAATCTGCATTCGCCGTTGTTTCTCAGCCTCAGTCTACTGAAGTGTTCGTTCAAGAGACGGTATCCTGTTAGTAGTCAGTCACAGTGTCCCAGAAATAAGTACAGATATTTTAAGGGGTGCTATATCTCGATAAAAGAAACATTTTCTCTTTACCGTTTTTCAAGTTCAAAAAATTCCATATTTTCAAAATTTTTTTTTGCGAAAAAATCTCATTGGCGTGTTTCTGGGGTCGTAATATAGTACCAGTTTTTATATCTCTATTTAATTCTGGGACACCCTGTATAATAAAATATTAAATAATCATATAGTGATTATTGTTATTAAACTTGTTTAATAAATATGTGTCAACCTAGCATTTTCTATTTACATCTAGTATGCATATCTTAGGTACCTTCGTTTTGTACAGCAAGGTTTGAGGAATCAACTCTGGATTTATAGAAATTACATAAAAATATTGTATAAAATATAAGAGCAAACCTAATATAGGGTGAATTTATAGAGTATGATTCTGAGTTACTTTTATTTTTTGGAAAAGAGTAGTAGGTATAACAAAAAAATATAACATTATTAACAAAAAACGCCAATTTGACTGAATTGAATTGATGACGTTTAATACGTCTCAAGTGATTTCTAGTAATTAATATTTATAAACAAAAAAACAAAATGGGTGCGTAGGTGAAGTAATAATACCAGTTATTCATTCCATCCTATTAATTTCTTCGTTATGTTTAGCTCGGTTAAATAATACTTACGTGCGTGTATATATTTTTTTCTTAAATTATGTCACATTTCAAGGGTTTTATCTAATTCTCTAATGCGTTTCGGTATTAATGAAGTAGTGTGTGCCTAGAATATTCGTTAGCCCTATATTAGAAGAAAAAAAAACAGGTTTTAGTGATGACTGAACATTACTTTTGTAGAAGTCCTTCCTGTAGGAATTTGTTTGAAAGGCTCTTTCCAGACTCTAGAGAGGTACTTTTTACTCAATTTTAGATAATTCACGTTCAATTGCAATAAGTAATTTGTTATTTATATTAAAACGAATATAGTCTCGGTCTCATACATGTATGAGACCACGACATTGAGTCCCTTTTTTCAATTTAATTATAAATCAGGATTAATGTTTTCTTAAAGTCTCTGAGAAAAATGAGACATCTTTTTTGTTTGTTTTTGTTTCCCATATCGACTCAATATAATGCTTATAATACACAGGGTGTCAAAAGCAAATATTACATGCAGTTAGAAGAAGTCAAGCAGTTAGTTATATGTTTTATTTTTCTCATCCAAGCAAATATGTAATTTGTAACAACGGAATTTATGACGTAAATTTGAAAAATGTAATATTTCTGGAACCAAATTTTGTTATTTTTTTAAGTTTTAGTTTAATTTTTAGTTATACCACCGTCTAATAGACGGTGATTATATACTTCATAAAATATTCATAACATTCAAGACATCCTCGTGAATAAAACTATTACAACCGAAATTTAGAACAAATATTTTTAATGACATAACAGAAATCATTTTACGGCAAATTACTTCTTGTCGTCTAATCAAATAAACATAATAAATATTTCTAGTATTTCGCAAATCGGTATTTTATTTCCTTACGCGCGCTGTAAGAATGGCAAACATTTCAATGACATCCAACTAATTTAAATACTAGTCCATTCAATTTGATCGGATTATTTACTAATAAAGGTACCATAAATATGTATGACCCTCATTCAATGCAAAGAAAATAACAAAAATATAATGCGTTTGTTTTTTGCTGTTTATTTTCGAATTAGAATGTCACCAATTATCGAAGGATATTTTGTAAAGGGCCAAGGGCGCGTTAAGACCTGTTAACGGAATTCGTTGTTCGTTTAGTTTCATCTCTTATTTTACATATTATTTGCTACAAATTCATTTCTCAATAACCAAATCTTAACCCACTTGGTGCGTTTTTTATTCCTTCGAGTCGTTTTATAATAACATAACATTCCAATCTTCCAAAACAACGTTTTTTAAATCGTTGTTGTTCACTTTAGAACACCGCACTATGGTTTCTAGAAGCTAATTTTTTGGCCAAAATACATATTTTAGACCCACTGTATATGGACTTTTTTGTAAGTAGAATGCAAGCAGATATACAAATGAAGAAGACCACATGCATATATTTTGGTTTAGTTTTCATTTTTATTCCTTATCAGCATTTATATTTAGACGTTCTAGTGAAGTATTTGTGTCTATTCAGTTGTTGTTTATTTTCGGAAGAGTTTTGGTGAATATTAAGTGATATATTTCAGTGGGATATAAAAACGGGTTACTGTTATTTTTACACTTTATGGTATGTATTTTAAAGAAATCACTAACAATTGCACGTAAGAATCAGCGTCCATATAAAATAATAAGTTTAAGACAGAACATAAATAAAAAGTTAAAAGTTTAGTTTGACTTATAAAAAATTCTCCATGTTTCTCCATGCTAGATGTTATTGTAAAATTTTAAACAATCCTTTCTGAACATATCAAAGAAAAAATTGGCTGCTACTAGCTGCAACTTTTTTTTAAAGATTTTTTTTTTCTCCTATGTATCGATTGAAAAAAATAGATCTTTTGGAAAAATGGCTACAAGGGGCCGATAAAGTTGAGAAAAACGGGTATGTTTCAAATTTTGTAAGACAGAAATTTCAGAATAACGAACAAGAACTATCAGGCACAATGGAAAAAAGAAAAATCGCCTTTATATAAATTTTGAAAGAAGATGGCAGGCGACTTCGCGGCTTAAAGATTTATTTTTAAAACAAAATGAAGACTGGTTAAAGGAGCATTTTATCCTTGAGTTAAATGAACCCCTTCTATCCACATCATCTGCCGGCCGCCTACGATTACCTTTTTCGGGGTAATCTTCCAGAACCCAGAGAAGAACGGCCTCAAAAGTTTCCGAGGAACATTGGCAGGATTGTGCAGGCTGCAAAATACTTTACTTGTGCAGGCTGCAAAATACTTTACTTGTGCAGGCTGCAAAATACTTTACTTGTGCAGGCTGCTTTGTAAATTTAGTTATCCTGCCGATGTACTTAACCTACTTCGTGTACCTGACTTTATCGAAAAGAAGTTAAATGAAGAACAATTTGAAGAGAAGCATGGAAAAGAAGAGGAATACGAGGAGGAAGTGCAAGAAGAAGAAATGCAAAAAGAAGATTGTTTTTTGAACAGCAGTAATTCGATGATTGATCAACATTTTTTTTTGGAACTAGATACAGGAGATGCTTCATAGGTAAAAGTTAATTACACGTTGAATGAGAAGATTAAAAATAAGTTCATTTTATTAGTATTTTATTATTTTATTAAAAACACAAATTTACAGTCAATATTTTCCATTAAATGTAAGTTGTTTAATTTTGGCCAAAAAAGTAGCTTCTAGAAAACATAGTAAAGTAATAAGTAAAACCATAATAAGTAAATCGCTCAGATTTTATAGATTTCCGAAAAATCAGCGACCACAGATAAATTGTACCAAATTTAAGGATAAATCTTTATGAACGACATATACGCAACCAAAGATATGACGCAACGAATAAACACTCAGATAAACTTTATACGATAATTCGCTTCAATAAAACGTTGCGTTAGTGGCATCACTAAAATGTATCTGATAGATTTGTCTTAACGATTTATCTACCAACTAATTAGTACAATTTATTGCTCCCAATAATGTATTCAGCTAATGATATAGGTGTACGATAAATTTTTGAATTTTTCATTGAATATTTCATTTTCACCCTAGGTCTCTTAATTCCTCGTGGATACCTTGCTGTAATTTTTGTGGTCCATCTGTTGTTCGTCCTTCTTGCCAGGTATCCGGCTCATTGCCACTTGAGGGTTTTGTCTCTGTAGATGATATCTTTTGTCGTATCCACTCTATTCTTTTACGGTCTTTTTTGGTTATTCCCAGCCAATTTCGTTTTATTGGGCGTTTTGCTACCTGTAGTTTTCTTATAATGTCCGCTTTAAGAGTCCTGATTTCACATGCATAGGTCATGACTGGTAGTACACATTGGTAGAATGTTTTCTTGTTTAGATAAAGTGGCATTCTAGATTTGAATATGATTGAGTTTCTTATTCTACAAGTACTCTATGCTAACTTAATTCTTCGGTTGATTTCTGGTAGTAGAGATCTCGAGCTGTGTATTAGTTGTCCCAAATATGTATTCTTCTATACTATTTCCAGTTTTGTGTTATTTATTAGAATGTCTTCTGTCTATTAGTTCGTTGTACAGGGTGGGTCAAATTCGACGCTTTTAAATGGAAACACCCTTTTCTATAGGAGATAGAAACACCCTTTTCTATAGGAGACAAAAACTAATATCGGTGTTTGGAGCTCAATTTTTGTCTAAAACATGATGGTGAAAACCGCATATCGATATCTGTTACCGTTTCGGAGTTACGGGGTGTTTTTCAAAAATATGCATTTTTAACAAATCGCTGTAACTTTTTTGCTATGGAAAATTTTGTATTTTTATGAAAACAATTCCAAAGCACTTTTTTACGTAGAATTTAATAGTTTACGTATATTTTTTTTAAATTAATAATTTAAGAATTATCAACAGAAAATTTGATTTTTTATATGGGACACCCTGTATATTTTTAATTTATTGAAAATAATTTAAAATTACCTTTCCAAAAATATAACACACTTGATATTTTGCTCGACTCCTCTTTGAGATATAGAGTATATAAAAATTCGCTCGCTTTAAATAAGTAGGCTTTGAACGGCACCGGCTGTAATGGAAAAAAATTCTAGTTGTGAGCATCAATTAAAACGAAAATAATATTTGCTATGAGAGATGCAGAATTTTATAAAATAAATAGCAAACCAAGACATGAGATTTTGCTACAGGTGTTAGACATATCGACCGTCTTATGTTATGGACAGACGGGGCAGCTTTTGAACACATCTCGCGGAATTCATTAACTCAGTGGGGGTGAAAGATACCCTCTCATACTGTTAAGTTTTTCTAATTCTTGTCTAGATTATACGGAATAATAAGGAACCTCTATTCTTCCGCGAATATATCCATTAGGATTAGATCCATGGGCACTAAGTCAGGCGGCCTCGACGGCCAACGGCTGGGATCTTGGTTAGCTATTCAATTATTCTTGAAATTGGCTGCAAAAATTTGCTGATAACTTCAGCGTTCAGAGGCGGTGCGTCGCGTCGTCTTGCTGGAAAAATATGTTTTCGAGTTCCATTAGGGGCATATCATCAATAAGGGGTTCAAAGCCTACTAGTTAAAAGTGGCGAACTTTTAAAAATTGTGTATTTCGAAGGGGATTATAACAAAATATCAAGGGTGCTATATTTTTGGAAAGGTAATCTTAAATTCTTTTCAGTTAATTAAAAATATAGAGGGTGTCCCAAATAAAAAATCATTTTTTCTGTTGATAACTCTTAAACTATTAATTTTTTAAAAATTATACTTAAACCATAAAATTCTACGTAAAAAGATGCTTTGGAAATGTTTTCATAGAAATACAAAATTTTCCATAGCAAAAAGGTTACAGCGATTTGTTAAAAATACACATTTTTGAAAAACACCCCGTAACTCCGAAAGGGTAACAGATATTGATGTGCGGTTTTCACCATCATGTTTTTGATGAAAATTGAGCTCCAGACACCGATATTAGTTTTCGTCTATCTCCTATAGAAAAGGGTGTTTCCATTTAAAAGCGTCGAATTTGACCCACCCTGTACATTACTTTAGTTTTTGTTAAGTTGATTTTGAGACCTAATTTAATGCTGGCTGTATTTAGTTCGTTAATTTGTGTTTGTAGTTCTTCAGGAAGAAGGTTATCTATTTAAATATACACTATGGTTAATTTACGATAAGGTGGGTCTTAAGTTATCTGCTTATCAAGTTATTCCCCTGGACCCTTCAAATTTTATTCTGGACAGAAAAATGGGGGTTTTGCAATTTAAGAGAACTTTATCATTACTTTATTTTGTGGACACTTACTTTGTAATCAAAATAAAAAACAAAATATTTTTAGGATATGCACTTTTATAAACCATGCAACATATGTGAGTCTTAAATAAGTACAAATATTTTCAGGGCAGGTAGATTTGGCGATAAGAGAAATATATTTTCTCTTTGCCGTTTTTTAAATAAGTTCAAAATAATCGAGTTATTTTACTTCGAAAATTAAAAAAAATGATTTTTTGTTTAAATTTATACGAAAAATATTTGCACTTATTTAAGACTCACCCTGTATAAAAAATACAGACAGTACATTTGAATTAACTGTGAAAAATAGTACCTACTATTTAGTTTTAACTCACTCTATGTAATCCAAGGCATATCTTCTTTTTATCCTGTATACCGAGCGTCTTCAAATGGTTTGTACAGTATTAATTTATTAATAAATTAGTAATAAATTTTATAAACAAGGGTATTACCAAAAAAAATTCTTATACATAGGAAAATATTTTCGTTTTATTTTTATAAAAAAATATCTAATTTATTTTTCTTTTGTCTGTGTCTTAATATGTTTTGTTTCCTTTTCTAGAAGTGGGAACGGGAAAATGCTGCACTACCCTTAAACATGAGAAGAAAAGCACCTGTCAAACCTGACAGCGCGCTCTCACCTAGAAATTTCAATCAGCTAGCTTGGGAAGCGTCACAGGTAAATAAAAATAACTTTAGTGCATATATTTTGAATACGAATGTATAAAACATACCCATTATACGGCGCGGCGATGCGGTTCGTCAACATGATGCGATAAATTGCGAGGCGGTTCGGCGGAATCTCGGTTTTTGGGTAAACAATCAAAAGAAATATCAGAAAAACAATGTACGTACTTACAAACTAACGAATCGTATCGACGAACCGCATCATACTAACTATGCGTGCATGGATCCAGGGACGTCTCAATTCGACGCATCAGCGCATAGTAAGTATAGATCTTAATGCATGATTGCATTGAATAATATCGAATGAAAAAGGCGTCATAGTAAGCGTGTAAACATTTCAATTCGTGTTTTACTCGATAGTTCACATAAAAAATATAAATAGGCCCTAAATGTTTTCTTATCCAAATTTAAGAAACGATATGATTAGCTGTAATTGTCTCTGTCAAGAATTCAATTTCACAACACTTTAGTTTGTCCATACTGTATATAACATAGTTGAAAATAGAAATCGATTGTTTTTTGTTTTACTGAGAATTCCACAAATTGGATCTGCATAAAATTCATTTTATATGCAAAATATGAAAGATGACGCTCCAATTTTGTTATTTTTTTAATAAATGAAGAAAAACAAATATACTCCGTATAAAAGTAGATTAGCGTCTAGAGTATGGTAATTTCAAGGTTTATATATTCCACTTGGCTTCTGCCCAGGGTAAGTCATTAAGGGAAGAATTTTAGCATGTTAAGTATTATTCCACACATACACAATAAGAATCAATACTGTTGCATATAGGTATAGGTAGATATATAGTCTGGTAAAACAGCCCTTCAATATGAAATAATATGAATGTAGAATATACTATTTTCAATTTTTCTTAATTTTATTAATTCTCCTAAACCTGGAATATTTTGACACATTGAACCTGAACCTTAAGGTAGGTTACACGCGAATTGCGAATATTGTTATTATTGGCCAATTTCAAAAAGATACAGAGGCCGCAAAATTGACAGAAAGTTGTTTTAATATTTTGCCAACTCGCATAATTCAAAATTTCTTGCGAAAATCGCTGCGAATTTTGAGTTTTTTGGTTATAATATGTCATCTCCTGTCATGTATTTCTTGTTATGGTTATAATAACATAAACATTGATTAAGATGAACTGAAAATGTATTAAAAAATTGTGCATAATCATTATTAGGTACTTATTTTTTATACAATCTAATTTCATTTTTTTTAATTTGCAGTACGAAGTTTTGACTACAAACTGGTGTTTGTTATCAATGTCATGTATTTTTTTTTCTCATCGTTAATTCTCATTTATTGCACCAAAATTGTGATATTCTCCTTGCTGTTTTCGCTTTTTAAATATTTCACATGTTCCAATTGTATTTTAATTTTGTTGCTTTTTATTAATAAATATACAGCTATAGATCGTCTTCTACGCCAAAAATAAGTAGCTTCATCCATTACACAAAAATATACTTATAAAATAAACCTGACAAGTGACATTTTCAACATGATGTGTTTAAAAACACAAATATCCCTGTAATTGCGAATTTTGTTATTATATGAGCTACGTAAATAAACACCGGATTTATTTTGCGAAAATCGCAATTCGCATTTCGCAATTCGCCTGTATATGAACCCACCTTTTTAAAATGTTTAAATAATAAGTGCGAAAAGACTCAAACATACACTTATTTTTTTAAATTAATTGGAGTTTGTTTTGGTTCAGCAGTATCACAATATTATTTATTTTTTGGAAAAAAAGGTTCTAGATAAAATACTGAAAATTAAGCTAGTTCCTCACGAGCGCGGAATTGCGGAACTAAATGTCAAATTAGCTTAGCGGCGTTAAAAGTTTAACTTCCAGAATTTGACCGCTAAGACCGGGAACCGGGAATCCTGTAGAGATTGAACGAAAAAAGGTTATATCAATTGCATTTGTTGGATCAATATTGTTTCGGCAACAAAAGAAAAAAAAGTCAAATTTGGTTAAGCCCATGTATTATCCAAGGAAAGAACAGGGGATTTCTTTAATTTAATAACTGAAATGTGTTTAACCGACCCTAAAAGTATATTAATTACCTTAGAAAATCTTCTACTCAATTCAAAAGGAAACAATTTCCGCCTAATTCGAGTTTATAACATGCATTGTCTATCCCATTCCCGCGAAAATAAATCGCCAAAAAGTTAAAAATATTTTAACTTATTTGTGATACAGCAAAATCATAAAGCGCGAATATTCGCAGTTATCAGTATGGAACAAACTGACGCAAAGTGTAACGTAACAAATTTAGGCGTAACTTCGCTTTTCCGCGCTCGTGAGGATAGATATTATATTTTAGATAGAATATTTTTTCTTCGTCTTTCATATCATCGCTTAATTATATTTTGCAAATATCTATTTATACCCTGTACATAGTAATAGAAAATTACGTAAAATTAAATTTTTAATTAGCTCGGATTTTTTTATAAAAAAATGGTACCCAATTTCTAATGATCTAGTGTTTAATGACAATAAAGAGGACTGCAATGCAGTTAACATATTTTTTAATATTCGATATAATTACAAATATATTATTGTTAAAAAAATATTAATAACATACGTAGTGCATACGTAGGCACATATAATGTAACTATTGCATGTCTCTTTCAATTATGTGATTTCGTCCAATCTATATTATTTTGTAAAGTTCAAGGTGGCTTTTACCTTCCAATATAGAACTACTAGAACTATTTCTGTTGCAACCTGATCATTTTATTCTTTTTTTATCGATTTTCGTATTAATTATTTATAATTGTCCCTTTCCAGAATTTTTCCATTGAAACATAATATTATTATTTTGGTATAAGTGTATAGAATGCATTTTTAATAATAATTATTAGTAACTATTACCTGATTTTATTATTTTACTTACTTTGTCTAACTTAATTATTAATTTTTGACATATTCTTATGTCAATTTTTAATAAATAATAAATAGACGCGCCCCGACCGAATAAATTGTAATTTTAAAGATAACTATGAAAAATTAAAGTTGTAGAAATTTCTTATATGGCATTGTCATGTCGTTTTTAAGCTGTCTACAATATGACTAAAATTATTTCGATATTTTAGTCTACTCTAGTTCCTTGCAAGAATTGCGGAAGAACTTTTTACCCAGACAGGCTAATGGTACATCAAAGAAGTTGCCGAACTCCTATTAATACTCTTAATGTAAGTAATTTTTTTCTTTAACTAAATTATTGATATTATTTGAAGGGAAAGAGGAAAAACAGACATTAGAGAACAATGCCCAGCAAACTTTTACAGATAAAGCTGATTTACTGTTGCCAAATATCATGCTAAAGATACAAAAAATGTATTGTTGTATGCGTTATTATTTGGACATCGCTTGGTATATTCAATTACAATTTATCGTTTGGTATGTGCGGGCACAGCAGTGCCCCTGGCAAGTGGGGTGCAGCCATACCACATACCATCTTTTTCTTGAAGCAACTAACGGCACTTTTGACCTTTCTGTAAGCTCGTTGTGAATAAAGCAAGCATATTAATCTTTACTAATCAAGAGGACATATTATAGCTGGCCCTATTGCCAATATGTATAGTAATTATAACTCATAGTTGATTAATTATCGCGTGTCAAATTTCTTTCATTTCGACAGTGACTCACTCACCGTCATCAAAATTATGAGATTTTTCCTAAGGGTACTTCTCTTCCATAAACTTCAAATTTTGAATTATAGGTAGCTTTAAGCTTATAACCAAAGAAAAAATAAAAAATATTCAAATATCCTTATTGATTAAAAGTTAAGTGTCTAGCCGTTACTTGTAACTCACGTTCTTATTTTATTTATATTAATATATCAATGTAAGGAATTATCGCTAGTCAATCTGCTTTAATATTATTTTGAAATATATACAGGGTATCCCAATATTCCTTGGACATAGAACTACTACGTATTTTTTAGAAAAAAATTTTGGATGTTTTGCTAAGTGCTTTACGGGAAGAGAGAGAACTACCCCCACCCCTACATAAATTTTAGTGTAAATATTTTTTAATTCCACCAACGACAGCTTCTTTTCGTAAAATAATCACTCTAGTATTTACTACATTTTTTATCTCTTGTAAAAAAAAACGCCACATCCCATAGTTTTTGATAAAACATTTTTTAGAAAATTTATTTTTCCAAAGCAGACCTACAAAATATACAGGGAGTTCCGATATTCCGTGGACTTAGAACAACTGCGTATTTTTTAATCAAAATAAGTTAATTGCACATAATGTACCTTTATATAAAAGTGCTTTATTTGTCTGTTAGAAGGCATCAAGTAAAAATAAACCCGAAAGTTAATTAATTTAAAATTTATAAACTTTTTAAGCTGTTTATGAAGCTTATTATCAAATATAATTTGTAATACTGACATAAAATTCCATGTCTTCGCCAACTAGATTATTAGAGCATAATAGATTTTATGCGCTTCCATAACTTGAAACTCGTCGGTGGAGTTGGAGACATCAGACAGTCATTACAATATTTATACTAAAATGGAGACTAAAATTTATGTAGGGATGGGGGTAGTTTTCACCCTTCCCGTATCTTTTCTTGATTTCTGTGAAAGGCAAATGTTAAAGCACTTAGCAAAACATAGACACCCAAAATTTCATTCAAATCGGAATAACGATATTTAAAATATCTGAAAAAATGTTTGTTAAAGTTTGATGCCCTCCAACGGACAAACGAAGCAGTTTTGTATAGACGTGTATTAATAAGCCCTACATAATTTTGATTCCCAAAAATACGTAGTAGTTCTATGTCCACGGAATATTGGAACACCCTGTATATTACCGGAGAAAAAACTAAGAGGGTGACCTACAAAAAGAAATAAGATCCCATCAAACACAAAGAAATGCCAAATCTCGTATCGCAATCGTTCCACTACCAAAAATGTTGTGAAGTCCCATGTAAAACAAAGTCAGTTTGTTTTATTTAGATTCTATTGGAGCCTATTCAATAATTTTGTTTTAAATTGTTAGTAACAATATAATATTAGACATTCTGTAATAATTATAATGACTTGGCAATTACACGGCACAATAATGATAAAAAAATAATCTACCCTTTCGATTACTAAGTAAATCTAAACAGTACACTTAAGAATAAATTATTTTAATTAGTAAAATATAATACCGTGCAATTACCCAAGTCATTATAATTATTACAGAAACAAAGATGTCTAATAGTGATACTATATAACAATTTAAATCAAAATGGTTAAATAGAATCTAAAAACTGACTTGATTTTTCATGATATCTTACAATTTTTTGTCGTGGAAGGATTGCGTTGCGAGACATAGCATTTTTTTACATTCTATGTTTTTGATCGGATATTCATTTACAGCATGTGTTTTGGACTTATTAAGATGATTACTTAAAAATTCCTATAAAACTGACATCCTTGTTTTTCCCCTTAACCTTTATTTTATCAAATTATTCAAAGAAAATATCAAAAAATTTATTAAATATGTTGTACTAGAGAGTATTCTTTGGGTAAGTCATTACTAATTTTATATAGAAGAAATCATCTACAACTAGCAGCAACATGTCCGTAAACACTTCTTCCTCAAGTCCCGAATCATCGTCCTCATCAAAATCAGCCAAGTCCAATCAACCCCCTGCTGTAGAGTGCTACATTTGTGGCAAGATGTTCGGCACCCATTCCATCAAGATCCACGAAAAACAGTGTCTAAAAAAGTGGCACGTTGAAAACGAAAGTCTGCCCCACGATATGCGTAGTCCTGCGCCTTTAAAAACAGGTAAATATCTCAATATTCTATGTTTAATAAATGTTTTTGTAATTTTATCTATATGGATCAGTCTTAAATAAGTGCAAATATGTTTAGGAGTGGTGTATTTCTACCCAAGAAACGCATTCCTGAGGTTTTCTTTTTCGAAAATGTTGTATTTTTCCAAAAGAAAAATGAATTTCGTTTTAATGTTTAGTTAAGGAACAATAATATTTGATGTAATGATAATATGGCAACATGAGTAGTAGATTAAATTTACAAGAAAGGAATCCCAAAGGAAAAATAATTTTTTTAAGTGAAACTTCTTTACACGCGATGAGAGTAAAAATTTTAAGACCGTGACACGATACGGCCTTGACACACGAGCTAGCGAGAAAAAAAGTGGTAAGATAATGATGAAGTTGAGATGGGTCTTTGGATCGACGTACTCGGGCCCTATGTGAGCTAGATAGGGGGCTGAAACTCAGAATGTAGATGGAGCTCGAAGAACCCTATCTTTTCATGATATTTTGACGACGTTTCGTACACTATGAAACCCCATCATCAATGGCGAAAAAATCGTCCAATTTAATGGGTAAGGAGCATCATAACTCGAGCCCTATGTGAGCTAGAGGACTGAACTCGGAATGTGGATGGGGAATGAAGAACCCTATCTTTTCTTGATATTTTGAAGACGTTTCGTGCACTACGAAACCCCATCATCAATAAATCAAATAAAAAAATCGTCCGATTTAAACGAAATTTGATATGTCGATATATTGGACCAAGGCCAACTTGACCGTGTACGATAAGTGTCACTGTGACAGTTAGTTTTGGCATAAGAAACATCAGATCGCGACCATATTTATATGAAAACGGTAAAGAGAAAATTTGTTTCTTTTATCGAGATTTACCAGAGCAGGTAAATATTTGCAATTATTTAAGACCCATCCGTATAATGGATGAATCATCAGCATTACCAAACTGTGTGTTTTGGTTGCAGTCTATGCAAATATATGCTGATATTTATAAAATTCCCGCTTTTAATTGGTGTCCAAATGGATATATTTGCGTTTCTCTATCTGTTATAGCAATTGATCGCATTGAATAAAAAAAACAAAGAAAGCAAAACAATAACAAAATGATCGCGACCACGATGTACCTTTTAATATGGCTGACTTAAATTTCGGTTTATCAGTAGCATATTACTAATTTTATTTAAAACATGTTAAATATAATGAGAGGAGACGTAATAATTTGCCTGTTTTTTAAGTTGAGTCAATAAATGGTATTAGTTATTAAAATTGCTAAAAACTGTATATTTCTAAAAGAATGGACATCATATACAGATTTATTATCAAAAATACAGATACGCTACTGAAACATCTTCAAGTATTCTAATTATTTTCACAAGTGGTAAATAAATAGCACAATGCAAGAACAAAAACATAATCTGAATCAGTCAAGTCGAGCACAGCTGTACCATGCTGTGAGGGGACAGGGTAAAACCAAACCTAACCTAACCAAACCATCCTTTTCTCGAGGCACTTTTGACCACCCTGTAACTTCGCTGTGGATATAAAAACAATTTGTAACAAAATAGTTAAATAGGGGCTTAAAGAGAAACTAAATAAAATAAACTGACTTGGTTTTACATGAGACACAACTCACAACTTTTTATAATGGAAGAATTGTATTTCGAGACTTGGCATTTTTTACATTTTATGTTTTTGATGGGATTAATTTATTTTAAATAAATTTTATAATCAATTGGACTATTACTCGTAACATATTTTATAAAACTACTAAACTACACTGAGAAAAGCCGAACAAATCCGCAAAAAATCAAATGTGTCATGTCAAACCTCAAACAATCGTGCATAATCCGAATCATGTCGATCCCGTCTCTATATGCATGAATATGAAACTAGTACATTAAATAGCTTCTTCTAGTCATTCAGTATTCAATGTGTGTGTTTAGACTACAGATCACATAATCTGTGACAATCTATCATCTACAGGGTTGTTCACCACATACGACACGGAGTATTGTAGCTAAACGATGAGATTTTTACAAATTGTAAGTTTTGGGTTCGATGAAGGACTATTAGAGGTACAATTTAAAAATAATTTTACAAGATGCAGAGTATCCCAAATAAGTAAAAAATATCAAAGTTGTATTTTTTTAAATGGAACACCCTGTATATTATTACATTTTTAGTTTCTACGATTAAGATAAAGGTAAATTTGATTAAGGTTTATTATACTTAAACCTTACCGTTTTTGAAATATTTTCAATTTTGTGAAATTGCAGTAAAAATTTTAAAGCTTCATTTCTCCAAGGGTATCAATGTTTTTAATACTAAATATTTAATAAAGTTTATTTATTGATCAGTTATTGTGTTGCAATAATAAAAATAATACTACCTTATACAGAGTGTCTAAAAATTTATTTTAAATAATTATTAGCTTCAAACGGCAATAACTTGTTTAATTTAAATGGAACACCCTCTATATTTTACGAGAATCATATGCACAATTTAATTGTCTATCAAATTATATTATACCATTTTTTACCTATCTCTTTAAGTTTCCGTAGAAAATGCATTTTCTTGTAATTTAGAACTTATTTATCAATATACCCATGGACTATTGACATTTTAGATAATTTTTAAAGATGTACCAAATTTTTAAAGAGTACAGATACTAATATTGTCGATATAATTCGTTTATTTCATTAAAAAATTAAAAAAAACTGTTTAAATATTTGTTAAAGAGGATCAATTAATATGATTCCAGTATTCAAACTACATTAACTGACTGTTTGCGTTGATTAATAATAATTGCTCCAAATACTAAAAAACTGAATTTTGTATGTACATTAGACAGTGTGATAAAAAGTAACACCTTAAAAATGATATTTCATTTTTTAATAAATGCTTATTTATAACAACAGAGACTTTAATTTGATAACTTATTATTATATTGATTTCTGACTCAAATCCACATTTATTTATAATAATTTATTAACGAATACAACTAAGTATATAATTAATTAGTATATGGGCGGAAATAATGGTATTATATTTAATTAATGGTATACTCTTTTATAAAGATTTAAATAGTTTTCTTTTTGCATACAAATGGGCTAGTAATATTATCGTTTTGCTAAAAACGATAATATTACTAATCTACATTTTGTACATTTGTTGCTTTAAAACAATCTAAAATGTCAATATTCCATGGATATATTGATAAATGAGGTCTAAATTAAAAGAAAATGCATTTTCTACGAAAACTTGAAGGGATAGGTAAAAATGGTATAATACAATTTGATAGACAATTTAATTGTGCATCTGATTCTCTAAAATATACAGGGCATTCCATTTAAATTAAAGAAGTTATTGCCGTTTGAAGCTAATAATTATTTAAAATAAATTTTTAGACAGTCTGTATAAGGTAGTATTATTTTTATTATTGCAACACAATAACTGATCAATAAATAAACTTTATTAAATATTTAGTATTAAAAACATTGATACCCTTGGAGAAATGAAGCTTTAAAATTTTTACTGCAATTTCACAAAATTGAAAATATTTCAAAAACGGTAAGGTTTAAGTATAATAAACCTTAATCAAATTTACCTTTATTTTAATCGTAGAAACTAAAAATGTAATAATATACAGGGTGTTCCATTTAAAAAAATACAACTTTGATACTTTTTATTTATTTGGGACACTCTGTATCTTGTAAAAATATTTTTAAATTGTAGCTCTAATAGTCCTTCAACGAACCCCGAACTTACAGTTTGTAAAAATATCATCGTTTAGCCACAATACTCCGTGTCGTATGTGGTGAACAACCCTGTATACAGGATGAGTCTTAAATAAGTGCTTAATAGTATATTTCGATCCCAAAAACACCCTTATGAGTTTTTTTGGCTTTTTTTTTGAAAATTTGAAATTTTTTGGAAAAAAATTTGGATTTTTTTTAGTTTATAGTTAAAAACATAATTTCTTGATAACATGGCACCATAGGTAGTGGATTAATTTTCAAGAAAGAAAATCCAGAGAAGCAAAAATTTTTTTTTTGGGAAATTTTCGAAGTAAAATAACTCGGTTATTTTGGACTTATTTGAAAAACTTTAAAGAGAAAATATGTTTCTTTTATCGAGATCTACCAGCCCTGAAAATATTTGCACTTATTTAAGACTCACCCTGTATAAACAATTTTACGAATTAATTAAACGATTTAATATAAGTTGCAGCTAAGAAGCAATCTTCCGTTTCTTCAATTTCGTCTTCGACTCCGGAACAGCCGAAGACACCAAAAACTCCAGCGTCTTCTAGCAAAGACGAACGTCCAACTTCTGGAGCTAAATCACCTCTATTTCCCTGTTACCTTTGCGGCAAACTGTTCACGGTGAATTCCATCTACATTCACGAACCGCAGTGTCTAAAAATGTGGAAGATTGAAAACGACAAGCTGCCAGCCAGTAAGAGGAGACCTGTGCCTATGAAACCTGACATCAAATTCACACGTAAGTATATTCAATTTATTTTCTTGTTAATTTTTTGTGCACGCAAATATACAGAGCGATCCAATTTTTGTAATAGTATTGGTTAAAAGGGATTAAAGACTCTCCCAGACCAACGCGGAAAGCCGGGAGTTGTAAGACCGCGGGATCGAAATATGCGGCGGCATATGATAGGCATCAGACCTTTGCATCAGACCAATCAGACCAAAGTGTTCTGCGTGCAAATAGAGAATTTGAACATTTTTTGAAATTAGCGCTAATGAAGGGAATTAGAATATGAAGTAGTGATGCCCATGATCTTTGAAAAATTATCACACGGCCTCTAGAAATCTGGTAACTAATTATTTAAATTTGGGCTTGGCTCTGCCCACCCGTAACGTGAGCCGCAGCTCGAAACCACGTGACGTCACATCGCGGACGAGCGCAGCGCACACGGTGAGCCGGGCGCTTACATAGATCACATTTACACGAGTTGCTGTTATTTTTATGATATAATAAATGCCAGGGTTGGAAAAAATCATGATTTTTTAAAAAAAAATCAAAAAATTAGATTTTTTTGATTTAAATCAGATTTTTTTTATTTAAATCAGATTTTTTTGATTTTAATCGAAAACATTATTTAAATCGGATTTCTAAATAATTAGGCCTTAATTCCAATTAAAGTCCTGTCCTAAATGGCTAAATCTTCATAACTCTGCCCAATACTGACAACATTAACAATTCTACGTCGCATGTCATTTTCCCTCATCGGTCACCAATATATTCCGCAAAAAAAGTCGCTCGCATCAGATCAAAAGGATTTTTTTTTGAAATGCCACAAGGGTATTAATTTTTGTCATTTCAACGTCTAGGCATAAAAGTAAAGCACTTTTACGCCTAAGCACAAAAGTACAAAAATATATTATTGAACTGATGTCAATTTCAACAAGTGTACAAATTGTTACTCGATTACTTACAGGGCATTACTTTTTATATTATTTGCAACATTTGAAATTGATCAAAAAATTATTTGTAATGTTTAATTTGCAAAAATATAGTATATTCTACTCAGAGTAAAAATGTACTTTTGTGTCTCCCTGTTTACACTGGTCCGTCAAACGTACAACCTCGTCAAAAAAGTATAATTTTTTAATTTTTACTTCTTACACAATATACTATTGTTCGGAAATAGTCTTAAGTCGAGAATCAAATTGGTATTATATATTGTCAAAGTGTAAAATAAAGAAATATAAAACAGCATATTTTCTGACAAAGATTTGAAGATATAGTCTAACATCAAAAGAACCCTTTTCTGCACTAGAGATTGCGAATGAAATGTATTCGAACAGCATTTTTTTGTCACTTGTACATAAATTTCAAAATAAATCTCTGCCCTTTAGAAGTTAGAAGTCTAATGGATTCACACGAAATTACTTCAAAAATCGGTCCAACATTTTAATTGATGAATAGATATGTAGTAGGTATATGTGTTATACAAATCATTTTTTATATAGTTTTATAACATTTACAATTTTTTTTTCGATTTATTAAACGTATTTAACCTTTACAATAGCAAGTGTGACATTTTATTTAACGAATAGATATAGGGTATATATGTTATAGAAATATTTTTATAGTTTTCTACGACACATTTTTATAACTTTTATAGTTATTTTTCCAATTATTGTAAAGTTTTAAAAAAGTTGTTTTTTTTATTTAAATCACCTGATTAAAATTAAAAAATCACTTGATTTAAATCACGATTTAAATCATGATTTAAATCATTTGATTTAAATCATGCCAACCCTGAAAAATACCTATTGTGCTCTATATGTATACAGATTAATACACTGTGTCAATTTTAAAACTTCCCACCCTTAATATCTTTCTTACAATTTACAGTTAAAAATATGAAAAATCGGAGACACGTCAATTTTATTTGTAAGGGGGACACTAAATTAATATATTAGCCTTTCGTCATATTAGGTACCCACTATTACCACCGTACATAGTAATTACCCTTTAACCTCCTTGCAAATTCTGTCAATAAAATTCTTCCTTAATTCTTTTTATTCCATTGGTTGATATACCCAAAATTATTGTCTTAAAATTAGATTCTCAACTGTTACAAATCCTGCTACAAATAAACTGGACCAGCCTGTATATAGAACAAGCTGCCCAGTAGTTATTTTTAATGATATATGTTGCAGCTTTCCCCTATTACAGAATTTTAGGGTCATTGTACTGTCGTATTTGTATCACGAAAATCTAAACTCACCGTTATTATAATATGACGATTTTTTTAGACCCAAATACTTTGAATTTATGAAATAAAATATAACAAAAAATGTAATTTAAAGGCTATTGAAAAGAAAATTGAGTTATCGAAACAATAGAAATATGCGAATGTTACTTCACAGAATAAATTTAAAAAAGAAATCAATAAAAAGCTAACGATTTTCAAACTTTATTCACCCTGAAAAGTGACCTTTTCGGGGTAAAGAAACTATCGATCCGCTTGATAAGATATTTAAACTAAAATATATACCTTAGAGTCCCTACGCCACATATTACAGGTATAATTTAATAAAACAAAGAATTGTTCTGAAGAGATTCTTCCAATCAACTATCTATTTATTTATTATGGAAAATTCTAAAAGTAAAACTAAAATATTTAATGGAGCGATATTTTTTCTGTTCTATTTTGGAATAAATATATTTTGTAAACATACCGAGTGTTTTTCGAAAATGGCTCACTTCTATAACTTTTTTTATTTTTTCAGATATAAAGACGCTAGTTGGTATTAAATATAGGACATAAATCAGGATTGATTGACGTTTTCTATTAGTGTTGGTTACTTCCTGTTTGACTGGAAGTGACTACAACTTTTGATTTGTAAATGGTACTCTCAGTATTCTTTTACTTTATTTGATAGAAAATTATATTGTAAATAGAATGACATAGGCATGTCAACTAGGTAATTTGTCAATTAGTAATTTGACTCGCAATACTAGGTATGTAATGCTTTTTCCGAATAGGCTTTCCGAATAGGCCTTCTATTTCCAAAAAAATAGTTATGATTAAAAATACGATTTCGTCATATTTTAACCGGCCAGGAAAAGACACGAAAAACATTAAAGGATCAAATATATTTTTCCCAGGCTCCTTGATTAAAAATTAGTGGTTTTAAACCAGCCATGACCCTAGTTTCAAATTTAAAGTAATATGTTTTTAAGCGCAAATGTCAAAAGTTGACATGTAATATGTCATTCTATTCAGAATGTCATTTTCTATCAAATTTAGTAAAAAATACTGGGGGTACCATTTAAAAATTAAGAGTTGTAGTCATTTACGGTGAAACAGGAAGTGAACGAAAATAATTGAAGACGTCAATCATTCCCGATTTATGTCATATTAGTAAATACGCCAAATATACTGAATATACAGGGTGTTACAAACTTGAGGTACCAGCATTGGTATCTCGGTAACCGTAATAGATATGAACATGGTTAAATTGGGGCAAAGTTGCCACTTTGGGATGTTCACCAAGATGCCATCAAAAAAGTTTTAAAAATTTCAAGGATTGCTGAGTTTTTTGGAAAAAACGGATTTTTTTGAAAATTAATTTTATTTTTTCCTGTCGTTACTTTTTAGAGAATCAAAAAACTAATTGCACATTCTCGTGGCCACTTTATTAGGGCTATCTGATAGTATTTTTATATTTTCAAATTAGCTGAGAATTTTTGAGATACAGAGGCCAACTTAATTTTTTTAAATACGGACCTGCATCTTTTATTTGAGATTTTAAAAGAACTCGGTCTCTTGAGTACAATGATATGTCACACTTCATACTTTTTTTTGTTTTGTATAAAGTGGCTATGAGAATGTGCAATTATTTTTTTGATTTTCTAAAAAGTAAGGACAGGAAAAAATAAAATGTATTTTCAAGAAAATCCGTTTTTTCCAAAAAGCTCAGCAATCCTTGAAATTTTTAAAACTTTTTTGATGGCATCTTAGTGAACATCGCAAAGCGCAACTTTGCCCCAATTTAACCTTCTTCGTATCTATTACGGTTACCGAGATACCAGTGCTCGTACCTCGAATTTGTAGCACCCTGCATATCTGAAAAAATAAAAGTTATATTGGTGAGACACTATTGAAAAACATTCGGTATATTTTAATATTTTGACTGTATGAGAAACTAATGAGAAGTATATCCAAAGAGAGGATATACTGACTCATTTTGGACACATTTTACCAGTTTTATTTTGTGTGATTTGTTAATGATTTAAGGTACGAATATTAGCAAAACTCCTCAAATTAACGAATCGTTTATGAAAGTATAATAAGTTTAAGGGAGGGAATCTTAGGGAGTTTATTTATGAGAATTAAATCAATCTGCAAAAAAAATATTTTAAGAAAAATGTTCTCGGGGAACGACAATTAATAATAATTTTAGGCAGGTAAATTTCTAGATGTCATTTACTAAAAATTGTCAGAGGTGAAAACCGTATTTTTAAATACGAGTGATATATCGCTCGAGTGATCACTCGGTTATTGCAATCGCTTGATACTCGAGTACTCGATTATTGAAATTAATCGGTTTTTCCCATCACTAATACAAAGTATTAGAGAATAGGTATAGAGTATTTTTTACAAGTTTTTTGTTTGTTTGTACACCTAGTTATTACAGTTATTTTTTTTAAGATCCTTAGTTCTGTTAGTGTTACTAATATTTATTAACACCGAACACCAAGCCTGTATCCTTATTTTTTAACGTTTTTTAAATTTTAATATAGAGTTCTAATCAGTGTCGATATGACATTATGACTGATTACGACAATAGTCAATAGTCACCAAAGCCCCCTCGTGATATTAAAAATTAACCATAAAGTAATGATAGTTGAAAAAATTGCAAATTGTTGGTGCCAAGCTCATTTCGCTTTTAAAAATTAACCAAGGCATGTGGTGACATGAGTAAAAAATACTCTGGAGACATAATTCTGATCGCATAATAATGCTTTAGAAAAAGTTACTCACGAAATTATTGCACAGGGTGTTTTAAAGTTAAGGTAATAAAACAACCTTTTAATTAACCCTGTATAATAAGCTAAATACTAAAGATTTTGAAAAACGGAGTTTATAAATTAAAGGTAATAGATTTATATACAATATGCTAAATCTTGAAAATGGGACTAAAAGTAATAAAAATGTAACACTCTAAACTTAAATGAAAAAATTCTCCGTTGCGTTTTTTTGCATCTTAGTGTAGAAAGATTTAAAAAGGATAGAACGTTTCCAGAAAATTTCCAAAAACATTTTTTTTTCTGAAATTTTAAACTACGCCAGCGCCATTTAAAGATCATTTTTGCTCAATATAAAAAATACAACCTTAAGGTAGTAAAGGGGCGTTTACACGAGTCAAGGGAATTGATCAAGTCACTTGAATTCAATTCGCATCAATGCAATATGACCCTCTAAACTCAACAAGTCGTGTCAGTTGATTAAGTGAGTAGATTCAAGTCTCAGTTAATTATTGTTTAAAAGCGCGTTTAAACGAGTCAAGTGAGTTGATCAAGTGACTTGAATTCAACTGACTTGAAAGCAATGATTGTCTAAACTTGACAAATCATGTCAATTGATTAAAGCTTCATTCAGAACCTCGCAATTAGTGGAATAAATTAGTGGTTTCAATTACACATTATACTTTTTAGTTTACGATCATTCATAATGTCTAAAAAACACAATCAAAAATTAATAGAATATCCTAGCAAGAGCTTGCGGTAATCAGTTGTATGCATAGAGAAAGCCTAATATTTAGCTTATAAAACAATCAACTTTTGATTTCTAACCATAATTTCTCTTGACGAAAGATAATCAAAGACCGAGTCAAAGACCAAAATGACATTTTTCGCAAATTTTAAGTATAATTAGTGGAAAAGTCAAAAGTTTGTTAACTTTTTCTACTAATTGAAAATGACTACCACCAATTTTGACGTTCTGAATGCTTACATTGAAATAAGAGGATCAAACTTCTACGTTAATTGAAACCACTAATTTATTCCACTAAGTAATTGCGAGGTTCTGAATGAAGCTTAAGTGAGTTGATTCAAATTTCAGTTGACTATTGTTTAACTTTTGACGTTCCAGTGATGTATTTAAAATGGCCTCTAGTAGGTAGCCAGAAGAAATTGTTATAGAGTTTATTAATACTTATGAAAAATATGAGTGTATATGGAACACACAGAATCTGAAATACAAAATTGGAGAAAGAATAGTAATTTCTAGTTTAAGCCGAGGAGAAATAGCGTTACGAGTTAATTGTCTTGTTTTTTAATTATGGCTGCAAATTTTTCCAACAAAAAATCAATTTAAATTGGTTTGCATCCAACCTGATTTTTTTTTTTGATATGTATCTTCTAACTATAGCTTAAATATTAAATTATTAGAGGCACCATAAATAGTTCTGCGGCTAATAAATTTTCTGACCAATATTGTTCTTTTACGTCTTGCTTTTTTACGTAATAAACTTTCTGTTAATTCTATTGACATAATTTTGTAAGTTTGAAGTACAGCCTTACGCACTGTCACCATTTTGAATCAACTAACAGAAACTTTTTGACATGAAATATGTAAACTGTCCCTCGCCAAAATTATCATCGATTATTATTCTCCTGCCGTATTTGACGCAATTTTTTTTTCAATCGTATGGCATATGCAATAAAGAAGTCTTTGAACCAAATTGAAGAATTAAATTAGTTATATATATTTATTAGAAAATACGTTAAAATCATTTATCTTGTTATATTATTTTTCTTATTATACTTTAATTTATATTTTTTTTATGTTAGACATAACTCCAACATTCGTTGCTAATTTTAATTAAACGATTAAACGTGGTAAAAAATAGTTAATACATATTTTAAACAAATTTGGTGCATGTAAAGCTTTATTGCTAAGAAAAAGTTATTCCATCTTCAAACGTAAGGAAGAAATATAAACTTCTCGATTTTTTAGATATATTTTTCATGATTTCAGGATCAGGCAAGGTGAATTACGAGGAGATCAGCGAAACTTACTGGCAGAGTCACATCAGTCAACTAGTTCCTTGCAAATTGTGCTCTAGAACGTTCAACCCCGACAGAGTTGCCATACACGAAAACAGTTGCAAAGGGACATAATAATATGTTCCTGAAATAACCTGTAAACTCTTAAGAATGCTTGATTTTTTTTATTACAATAATTATGTTTGTATATAATTCTAATAGGATCGATTAGTGGAGATGCGATTGTATATGAATGCAACCAACAAAACGCTAAGTTCTCACGAAATTGATTCAGAGACCTACTATGATTTTGAGACCACTAGAAACTACATCTAGAATCATATAAATATTATCTCTTAGAACTTAGAACTATACCTAGAACCACAGAATATATAGCTTGCACTTATATTCCGTGCTGGCTTTTTAAGAAGATAGAAGATATGTTTTATAGGTATAGTATTAGCTGTAACTAATGAGAGCATATTTATTAATTTATTCTGTTTGCCTTTGATTGTTGATGAAACTCAAATCACACAAAAATCAAGGTAGAGTTAGCTCATATTAATATTATTAATACATAGTTAGTATACCGAAATTAAATAATATTTATTCAATTTAACGGACCTAAAACATACAGGGTTTTCAATTTATTAAGTTAACAAAATATCAACGAATTGAAAAATATTTCATTTTAAATAAATGTGAGAGATATTGGGTATTGGCAGTGGCGGCTAGTTCTAAAGGGCACAGAGGCACGTGCCAGTCCAATCACCAAGACAAAAGGACAGAAATACGAACATTTATATATAAATATAGGATTAGTCTTGGGTGGAGATTTCCGTATGTAAGAAGAGTACAATGCGTTTATAATGTACTGAACAAAGAGAGGACAGTAAACACGTTGAAAAAAAAAACGTATGAAATAAACCGAGAAACTGTGCACATCGCTAAGAGACGTGGAAGGGGATATAGCAGATTTGTCGCAGTTGACCGGTCGACCCAATCAATACCTCTGTGAGTACTTAAAGTTCTAGGGAAAGGTGCACTTCATGCGTTCAGCTTCACGATTTAATTACGTCTCGTGATACTTGATTTGTTTATTTATTAACGAGTCGTTGTAATTTTCCTTATAGCTTGATTTTTTTTAAGTGCAAGATAGAAACACTTACATTTTTGGCAAAAATAAGTGGAATTGATTGGGTGTTCGATAGTGGTCGCGCTATTAGAACTCTGAATTCAAAAATCGATATCTCGAAATCTATTAGAAATAATAGATTGTAGTTTTTTCAAGAACTATATTAATATTTCTGCTGTATTTTCTTTGTAGACAGTATGTGAAAATCTTTATCAATAAAAAAATTACACGATCGCTGAAAATTGCTATGCTCTAAAAGTAAATGGATGGATTGTTTACAATTTTTGAATGGAAAAAACAACCTTATCGAATTTTTCTTATGTAAACATATTGTAAAATATCCGATCTTGAAAATAAAAAAAAGTTTTAATATCTAAAGTGGTTCTTGAATTATGGCCTGTTATGTGTTAAAAAGTTGAGTTTTTAAATTATCGCAATTACTGACGTTTTCTCGTTATAAAAAAATGACACCCTAATGATATCCTTATAATTCCATTTCAGATGCTCAGAGTCATGTCTAATGATTTTATCTAGTTATCTCTTGAAAAAAAAGTCTTAAAAATAAGCGGTTTGCGATCGTGATCTTACTTTACTTGATAGGGAAAGCGTATCGGCTACGCCGCAACAGCACACCGTCGCGCGTCGCGTCGGTCGGTCGCATTTCTCTCACTCCGACTTAATAAGATCCCTATGCGATTTACTTCCACACATGTAAATGCCCACCCAAAAGTAATAGTTGCCAGCACGGTATATTTGAAAACTAGGATAGACTTTATGTACTAAAAAAAGTATAAATTTTTTCTTGTAAGGCTGTACCCGCATTCTCCTTCAAAACTGACGAGCCGCCACTGGGTATTGGTACCTTTTAAAATTGAACACTTTAGACAATATGTGTCTCAAAATGTATTACAAAGGTTTTAAAGGAAATTATTAAGCAAAAAATCGACTTAGGTATAGGACACTATCTGAATAACAGCCTTCAAATTTCTGAATTAACTGACTAAATTAATATCAATTGTGAATTTTTGGGAGACAATTTAAAGTATAAACTTAAAAATCAAATGTTTGAAAGGTGATTTGTCATTAATTTTGAACCGTTGAGTTCACACTTGATAATGTGAAAATTTTTAAAATTAATCATAATAATCCATAAAGGAATCCATAAAGTTTTATGCTAACTTTTTTGGCCCTGAATACGTACCTAAAGTATTGACATTTCTTTATAAATCACACTGTAAATTTACTTCTTGCTGCAAATTTGAAAGCTGTTATATATAAACGTTTAAATAACACAATTTCAAATATTAATTATAATTTATGTAAAAATGTGATATCGTAATATATTATACTACTTGTACTTTAAACTAAATAAAATTATTTTTATTAAAATGCTTTAGTTTTGTTTGCTCTGGAGTTATATCATATTTGCTCGCTCTATAATCCTTTGTAGGTATCAGGTGTAAATTAAAGATTTATAAGGTAGGTATTTAAATTGTTATTGTTCCCAATAATAATGTTGCAGTTTAATTTTACGAAAATTTTCTTAGTTTTACAAGCAAAATTACTGTGTAATCATCGAGTAGAAACGACGTCATAGTAGGCGTAGACGTAACAGTTTTTTGAAGCTTTATTTTATTATAGATAAGAAAGTGAGTTTGACCGAATTGTATAAATTTCAAAATTTCCTGCAGATACGAAAAAAAAAATAAAAGAACTTTTTGGTAGAGAATGAATTGCCCATTTTATTTTATTTTTTAACTCTAGAGTTAGAATTTACCCATCTAAAATTTTAAATACAATCATATTAGATTTTTTTTAAGTTTATGCTGTTAGCGAAACCAAAAAATATCTTAATCTTTGGCTAAACCTCACGAGTCCGGCACTGGTCGCTTATAGCACAGAATATGAATATACAGGGTGTTTCAAAAAACATGTATCATCTCTCGTTGGAAGATTCCTCGCGTAAAAATAACATTTATTTTTCATATCAATATAGATCCGATTTTTCTTTGTTTCGTAGCTACAGAGGGGATTAAAGTCCTTATTTTTTTTATTTATTATAATTTTCTTAAGTGTTTTTAGTGGTTCGAATAAAATTTTGAGGGTAATATTTACTGTAAGTGCTACATGTTTTAATGCTAAAAAAGTGCCCACAGATTCATCAGTGACGTGCATATACGTTATCACTGGAATATTTTTCGAAAGAAAAAATATGTGCGCCACTGACCTTTTTCTTTTGATAGCAAAATTAAAAAAAAGTAAGCCGTTTAATGCCAATTAAAAATTGTATCTTGATATTTTATCGATTTCGGTCTCTTTGATTTTAAATGTCTGAATCTCATTAATATGGCGTTTGGCGTTACATCCCAAGAAGCAGCGTCACTATGCTTCTTTAGCAGATTAATTTGAAAAGTTTGGATCACATTAATATGACTTTTGGAGACACGTCCTGAACGTTTTATACTATACAGCGTGGTCCGAACCGTATTTCGGAAACTTCGGCAGCATATTCTGCACATAAAAATATAGTTCATATCAAATAAATTTTAAATTTAAAGAAGGCGTCCATTCTTCTCAAAAAGAAGACGTCCATTCTTCCCAGGTTTAAATTAAAAATTTATTTTTAATTTAATTTTTTTTTTAAAAACTTTATTTTCTAGAGATTTTACTCATTAATAGACCAAAATTGGATATGACTATATAGATCTTTTTGCTCTGTCTGATGATGTAAAAATTCAATATGGCGGCCATAGGAAAACAAAAACTTGCCTGTTGTGCGAAATCAAGAAGACCTCTTTTTGAAAACGCATTTAATTGGCTGAGGTCATGAGTCAAAAATATAAAACTACCAACTTACGTTGCAATAACTACAATAAATCTGAAGATATTATCATTTATAATAAACGTATGAATTTTTTTTTACAAAAATCATGTCAAACATTTAATAACAGCAGCTTTTGTTTCATTTAACAGAATTCGTATCTCATAGTTTCTGAGATATTGTTGAGCGTCGAAATTGTTACTACCCTGTACCTATACCAAATTGGATTTATATGTATCCAGAGATTTTAGGGTATTTCAAAAAAATTAGCTTTTAACTCGATATTTTTAAAAATAAAGCATTTATTTTAGTGTCTAATGTTGATATATTTTTAGCCGACCATACCAACAGCTCGACCGTACCAAGTAGGCTATTAAAATCGGCAAATTTTTTTTTTTTTAATTTCACTCAAAATGAGTTATTTGGGTCATAAATGACCTAAATACAAAATATTTTCATGGTGTCTGTCTGTCGGTCTGTCCGTCTGTCCGTCTGTCTGTAACACGATAACTCAAAAACCGCTAAACTGATTTTAACCACAATTTGGCACAAAAATACTGTGGCACCCCAGAATCTGGCCATTAGTTTTTGGTGGAAGTGGGGGCCGGTTGGTAAGGGAGTATGGGAGGGGGTTAAAAATTTTAAAAAATCGTAACTCCAAAATTACAGTAGCAGCGAAACGCGGTTTTTAATTTAAGATTAGGAATAATCAGTCAAAGTCGCAGTTTTTCAGATAAAAAAAATTGAAAAATTCCTTTACATTGAAACTAAAAGAACTGCCTACCAACTTTTTATTAACATATTTTAGTATGGGCGGCTATACGTGCCTCCCGGCGCCAATTTTTTTGAATATGTTTAACAATTCGTTAGTGAAATACTACTGTAAGAAAATTAAATTATTACTTTATATATCATCAGCCTTAATAATCCGTTAAGTATTGTCTCAAACGTTTATCGAACTAAAGACGTTACCTCGTAACGCATATTTATTTGTACACTGTTCATGATAAGAACAATCCCATTTTACGACAAACAAAGAATAACTCCTATAAAATAGATATAAGCGCAAAACAAGAACAATAGTCTCATAACTAAAACCAACATTATGTGATCATAATAGTGTCAGTTTCAATTAAAGAATGTAGTCGAAAAAACACCGATTTCATTAAAGATGTCTTTGGAAAAAGCAAAGAGCATTGAAGCGGGCCTTCAAGTAATGGTAGACAAGGAAGATGAAAAAGCCCATAAGAAATCCATGTACGAAAAACTCAAATACTCCTTCTCAAACATGACAGTAGAACCGGTTTTGTTCTTTTACATCCTGCCCAGCATCATGATCACTATAGCTATTCAAAATCTAAACCTGGAAAAGGCGTGCAGAGTAAACTTAGGTATTCCTGCGCACCACTGTGACGCATTGACCCTTAGGAATTCTTCAGCCTATCCAGAGTATACTAGAGACGAGCAGGACGTCCAAACACTAGCCAGTTACATGACGATCATAAAAAATACGGTGCAGAGTATTATACCTGGATTTATACTGTTATTTTTGGGTGCATGGAGTGACAAACGAATGAAACGGAAGCCTTGCATGCTAGTTCCGATTTTGGGTGATATTCTTATGGTACTGGGATTGATTGTTTGTACGTACTACTTCTACGAACTGCCTATCGAAGTGAATTCAGTCTTCGAGTCTGTTTGTCCCGCTATTACCGGTACATGGTTTGCGATGTTCACGGGTGTTTATAGTTATATTAGTGATGTTAGTTCGGAAGAAGAAAGGACTGTAAGAGTGGGTAAGTATCTAAATTTATGTAATTTAGTACTTTATACAAATTAAGGATAGGTACTTGTGCGACACTGAAAAACAAGTCTGAGATATGATCAATAAAGAGGTTATTTGACTATAAGCTTGGTGCATTTTCCGCCGGTGCTGCCACCATCG